TTTGGGTTTAAAATGCCACTCAGTCCCAGCAGTGCCTGTCTCACAGGGCTGGAGAGAAGGAGAGGTGGCTGATTGGGTGTATAACACTCACACATCAGCGTGGTTTCTGTTTGGAGGGGAGATTCATCTCTTTGCTGTCAGGCTGACACACTGTTATACACCTGCACCTCAAAACAACTGCGCCTTTCCCCCCCTGCATTTGCATTAAACAAAGGAAAAAAAATACAACTGACCTAAAAGTTTAACCTCTTTTGATAAAAAAAAAACACAAACAAACTGGCAACTGGTCAAGTCTGTGCTTTGCCAGCAAGACAAATCTGTGGAGATTTTCATGAGTGCATGTGGGTTGAGCATACCCACAACACCTTTGATGTTTCTCTTGCACCTGCTTAGATGTGCTGAATGCTGAATCCAACACACACATATTTTTGCTCATATGCTGGCACACTCATAGAGCTGTCTCTTAAAGCACAGGGGAAGAAATACTGCATGAATGGAGTAAAAAACTGGATTTTTTTTTTAAACCCAGAACTTCTACAGAGAGGTTAAACTATTTTGTCCCCAGCCCTCATTGCTGCAGTTCTAATTCATACTTCTGAGTGGCTTCTTCTCCATAGAAATGAAATGGCTTTGAACAATCTGCAGCATTTTTTTTTTTTCATATGGAGAGCACAGGAACGTATAAAGAAATCTATGAAGTGGTGGTTTAATGTGAGGTGAAATGCTGTAAAAACTCATCTCAGTTTCCATCACCAAAGCAGCCTTGTGTCTATTGTACAAAGGGAAGAAAAGTTCAAGCTTTTACTGTGGCTCAGAGCTGTAATGACTCAATGTCAACATCTAGAGGCTTGTTCTCTTCTTGAGGATACTGAGCTGTTGAGGTCATTGAGCCTTGAGACGAGAAGTTTTGTAATCCAACCATCTCCCCTCAGAAACACCTGATGTCTTTATTCCTTTTTAAAAAAGATGTCAATAATGGAAAACGCTGCTTTTTACTGGACAAGAGATATGGATGGATGCTCTCCAGCTTTGTTAGAAGGTATTTCATATGATTCAGACATCTCTGTGTGTTTTCAAAAGGGTCAGTATTAGGACACACAGCGCTAGGATGACATTAATGTACCCCGACAGGCATGGAGCGACCAAAATCTGAACCGGGGTCAGCCCTACAAGATGTGTTTTCAGATTGAGTGGATGAAGCTGTTTGTGTTGGCTGGTTCAGCACGGTCTGCAACCTTCTCTCCACATGGGTGCTCCACAGGTCCTGGCTCTTTGTTTGTGATGGTAGTGGTCTTGCTGGGCCATGATACTCAGTGTGTGCGTGTCTGAAGTGGCTACCAACTGGGATTTGAACTCTGTCAGATGTGAAGGAGTGAAATGTATGTTTGACAAGTGAAAAACAACAATTGTCGAGCTGTGTTAACTTGATGCTTTAACTCCAGTCTGCTATGGAAATATGTATGGACTCAAATATCCACAAAGTGTCCGTATGAGATGGACTACAGTGTCCATAGATAGACTTTATGATGAAATGATACAACATTGATGCAACACGTATTTCTTGTAAAAATCGATGGACAAAAGTACATTCCCTTTTTAGAAATTCTGATTCAAGCACAAATGCATGAACATAACCTCATCTTGATGGCACTGCTGATGAGACAGAGGTTGGTGGTAAGGATATTTGCTTTATTTTCCATTAGTATCATTTTTAAACGTCTCTCATTTTATTCAATAATCCTTCATTTTTCTTTTAACAGTCATTTATTGGCTCAAGGTTGTGAAAAACAAAGCTGATTCACTGTAACAGCCACTATTCAAACCTGACTGATCTGTGTAAAGCTTGCACAGTGTACGCTGCCAAAACATGTGACCCACAAAATGTCAGATGGAATTTTCATGGTCAACAAAACCTGTTTTAGGACTTGACTGAATCGTTTTATCAGAGCCTTGAGATATTTTGTCTGTGATTATTATATCCCATATGCAATGTCAGGGATGGTGCAATAAAAGGACTAGGACTCTAATGCACACTTCACAGGCAGAACTAGTGCATTTATGTGTGAAAAAAGTAAGTAAAAAGGTGTGTATAGATACAGGCAAAATCAGATGACAGCTGCCCAACACAGGGAAAACAAATCAGCAGGAGCAGGCAAGAGTCCAAAATCTAAAGACCAACCTGGATGACTGTCCACTCTGTTACGAGCATGTGATCAGATAAGATTGATGCCTGGCATCAGCGTCGACTTGCTGAGGTAATGACGTAAGTGTCAGTGACACTGATGATGTGGCTTTGAGATGTGAAGAAAAAAGATGAGAGACGAAGATCAATCATTTGGCACTCTGAGAAATTCCACTGACAAGTTGTGGCTCAGTGCTCGCCTGTGCACGTAAAAAGAGGGGGCTGTTTGTCAAACTGGGTGTGACCTTAACATCGTGTGTCACATTGCTTAGGTAAATAAAACGGCACTTTAAAATCAGACATTTAGAGGCCAGAGCACCCAGACTAAGGAATATATGTATAACTTTAAATAGAATTGCATCCTTAAGCACTTAAAACACTTGCAGCTTGTATACAACTTGAAAAAAGTACGTTTTTTCAGGTTAAGTTGCTCTCAAGACTTATTAAAACCAGCCTTGATACCACTTTGACATGAAACAGTGTTAGGATTACTAATTTATATAACTGTGAAGTTAAAGGGATATTCCAGCGTAAAATTAAGTTATGGTCAAACACACCGTAACACAGAGTTAGACACCCCCTCATGAGATGAATGTTGCTGACTGCTTGCTTCTCTAGTTATACCAACTTCAGCAACTACCACACGATAGCAATACACAGCGTTCTACATCTTTATGCACAAACCTCAACCAAAAAGCCACTCTATAGCCACAAATAATGCTCAGAACAGCACCTAACTTCATCAACAGTACATATAGGGTCCCAGCCATAGTACTAGCCACCAAACATCTTTTTAGCTTTGCCTGATTTCTTTATTTAAAGAGACCAAACACAACTCACCCAATCTCCTCCACCAACCACTTGTTTGTGGGGTAGCCCTGATGAATCGATCACCAAGTGCAGCGGAGTTTCGCAGCTCAAAGAAGAACAATTATGATTATTACTTCATGGAAATGCAATCAAACCAAAACGTTAAGAATGTTAACTCAGAGTTACAGTGTGTTTGACCCTAACTTAATTTTATGCTGGAATATCCATTTTAATGTAGAATGATGCAACAGTTGTTACAACTTTGTAAGTATGTGGTTTTTGGTGCTTCTGCTGTCAGCCCCAAGTGGACACTTGAGGAACTGCAGTTTTTAGCACTTCTTCATCAGGAGGTTGCTGCTCGGAGTCGACTGATACATTAAAAGCTAGCAGCAGATTTTAAACAGGAAAGCGCCTCGATGACCCCACTCTGCTAAGACAACCAGCTTAGACACCACAGAATGGAAATGCAGAGAACAGACGCAGATAATTACAAAAGATTTGTGCAATAATGAGGGTTGATTTTGAACCTCTGTCATCTTGGTTGTCATGGTGGAAAACCCCAAAAGACTGGGGTACAAGATCAATGGCAAAGATGCATGGCTGAACTGGGCCAATTTCACGGCTGCTGTGTTGCTAACTGTGTTATCTTTAATTAAATGAAATGTATATTGAGCACAGGATAGTGGAGTGTGAATTGCTTTAAGTACAACATTTAAGCACCGCTGTATTGCACTGCAGGAGAGAGCATGCATTATTGTTTGTGACACTGGGGAGAACATATAAGCCTTGTCTTTGCCAGAGCCTGCTGCTGCAGAGTCAGGCCGACACACGATTTAAAAGTCTTCATGCCGAGACGCTGAAATAAACCTTGCATGCATGCCATCCTCAATCTGTGCTCCTTCAAACATTCCAACACTGAGTAATTAGTCACCCAGTGCTGTCGTCTCTTTTGGAGCCGTGACACACTGAATTCACAAGGCTAAAGACGGGATTACTGCTTATGGACAATGTGTCCCACAAAGAGGAAGGACAATTATGACAGCTTAAATCCTGAGGCATGTCCCTATGGGCGCCGTTGCCATTCCATGCTGTTTTCTCCCCATTTTTCTTGCTCCTGTCGCTACTACCGGTGCTTCTTGACAATTTAGCCACCTGTCAATTACTGTGAAAACCCTTGCAGGAAGATGACAGAGTATCCAGAGGAGACACGGCCAAAAAGTTCCTCTTTTTAAACCAGCATGCATGGGAGTGCAGATCCATGACTAGCCTCTAAAGAAGAGAGATCAAGAAGAGTGCTTCTAGTGCATGAGAGTCAGAAGAGTCAAGTAGCCCCCTGTAGACAGGCCATATGGCTCGGGAAGAGTATCAGGGGTGTATATGTGTGTCTGCGAGCACCATGCCAGTCCCACTGCTGATTTCTCATTATCGAGGAATAAATAGAACAAGACAACAAAACAGTGGCCCTGTTGTGTCAAACTTATTCTGACTTGGGTGTGAGACAGATGGTACTAACTAAATGACGAGGTTTGAGTTGTTGGGAAACTGGGCAGAAGCACTAAATACAACAAACAACAAACTGTGATGGAGAGAGATCTCTTTCTTTCTCCTTTTTTCCGTATTTTGTTAATCACATTATCATTTCTTAATGATTCTTACATAATCAAGTGTCACTTTTTTTCTCCTGCATCAGAATGACTGTGCCTGCAATAGTTCCCACGTTATTGCCTGTACATACAGGGCTCGTGTTTGTGGCAGCAGTGTGGGAGGCTGTAGGGGAGTCACAGGGAACAGCAGATGCCAGGTCTCCTCCAAGGTGGCTGACGGGCGAGGCGAGGCGAGGCAGACAAGCACAGGATGCAAAAAGCCGAGGCAGAAAGGCTACCTGTAAATATAGCACAGCAGCTCAGGAGCTTCGGTTTCCATTAAATAGCCATGTATTTCCCAGCTCCTGGCTTTATTGCACCGCTGCTTCGGGAGTGGGAGCCCAGGAGGCTCTTCAACATTATTAGCAGCTCACAGTACATAATCCCACAGCAGATTCTCGCCTATCTTCAGACCAGACTGAGATATATAGAGAGAGATGAGGAGTGAGAACACTGAGGGTGGCTGAGTGGTGGAGAAGGGAGGGGTGGTGCCAGTTGCCAGTCTCTCCAAATCTGACAGAGACAAAGAAAGAGGTGGGCATACATTGTAAAGCCGATGTGTTACTCGTCACGGTATCATGCTAACCCGTTGACAAACACCAGATGGTGGTCTGTCTCCAGAGGTGCTGTGTGTCTCACTTAGTCATGAGGCCCGACACAGTGCCAGTGCTCTCCTCTGCCATTCCTTCAGAAGGGGATGAAGCCCCCTCGTTTGGTCTCCCTGATGACCCAGCCTGGTTCTACTTCTGATGCAGCTGGACACTCTCAGGTGCTCCCACAGATACTGAGGGGGGTTGAATGAAAGAAAGGGGAAAGGAGGGTGAAGTCCAATTTTGGAGAAACAAAAATATCACTTCCTGTACAGAAGAAAAAAAACAGCTTAACTCTGGAAAATCGTCCATCATTGTGTCAGAAAAAGAAACAATATCGCTTCAACACAAAAGGCTCAAAAGCATTCCTGCAGGCTGTAAGAATATTCTTCAACTGAAAGTCGTTATTTTTGTTAGTTTTAAACTTCTGGTTTCTATGTCAGTCTAGTTTTGTTTAGTTTTTGATGCTATTTTCTAAGTTTAGTTTAAAGCTCCTGGGAGGAATTTTTGACATGTCACCAAACAGACTGAAATTAACAAAGATGTCTCTCCATTACCCAAAGAAGCAAATGTAATCCTCGATAACAGGACTACAAATTTATACGATGGAAACTTTAATACTATATACTTTATACTTTTTACTTAATACTTTTAAAAACGGAGCTGCACAGAATAAAGAGGACTTGAGCACAAACAAGTCTTACAGTAACTACATATCAACATCACAAGCAGGGGGAGAAAATGTATATTTTGTGTAACTAATTTCTAAAGTTTGTCCACAGCTCCATAGGGATTGCTGGAGGAGGGGGATTTATGACCTATACTACAGCCCATCACCAGAGAGTGCTGTTCTTGCAGTGGCTTCACCCAGCGAGGAGGCAGACGGCATCCATTCTATATACAGTCTATTGTTGCAACACAATCAAAAATTGATAAATTTTGGTGTGACAGCACATGCACATCGAGCCACCCCAATGAAAGAAAGTCTGGACACGTTAGCACATACCTCATCGTCCATGAGCAGCCCTACCAGAACAGATGGATCCATGCAGAACAGAAGATACTGACGGTACAAAACCTCTTACAGAGAGCTCTAAAGCAAGCTTTTTAAAAGCAGAATATGAGATAATGCAGGAAAAGGATCTAGCCAGAACTGAACTCCTGACACTGCCCCTGAGACAAACTCTAACCTACAAATCTGTGAGATTTGGGCAAATACCTTTAAGTGAGGTATCATTTTCTCTTCGCTTACAAGAGATGACGCATCGGAACAAGAAGAAACGAGCTGTTCTTGCTCGGAGACAGCATCATCTAAAGATCCAGGATTTACAAAGAAGTGTTTGAAACTGTTCCATTACTATTATGATCAGACAATCACAATGAGTGTTTGTGTAGTTTACTGTAGCATCAAGCAGCACAGAGATGAATGAAGGTCACTCAAAGATTAAGTCTTTCACTTAGTTTACAATGTTCACCTACAAGAATGCAATTCTTTAGAGTGTGAACAAGAACAAGAAGGAAGAAAAAGAGAAGTAAACAGACTGGAGTTTAGTCACAGGGGAATGTGGTGTGTTCTCTAAATACAGATGCATATCATCCAGAAGTTGATTTATTTCAAAAATTCAGTTCAAGAAGAGAAACTCATATCTCATATAGATTCATCACACACAGACTGATATATTTGAGGTGTCTATTTCTTTTTGTTTTGATGATATAACTGATGTAACTTACAGCTTCTGAAAACCCCAAACTTAGTATCTCAGAAAATTAGAATATTGTGAGGAAGTTCATTTTGGAGATTCATGGTGCCACACTCTCATCAGATAATTAACTTAAAATACCTGCAAAGGTGTTCTGGGCCTGTAAATGGTCTGTCAGTCCAGATCAGGGGGCTGCACAATGTGGGAGACTGCAGACTTGACAGTTGTTCAGAAGACGATCATTGACATGCTGAACAAGGAGGGTAAGACACGAAAGGTCATTGCTAAAGAAGCTGGCTGTTCACAGAGTGCTGTATTCAAGCACTTTTAGGAAAAAGGTGAATGGAAGGAAAAATATGTGGTAAAAAAAGGTGCACAAGCATCAGAGACAACCGTAGCCTTGAGAGGAGTGTGAAACGAAGCCTGCTCAAGACTTTTTGGGGGGGAGTTGAGTGCTGCTGGAGTCAGTGCTTCAAGAGCCACCATGAGTGCAGGACATGGACTTCAACATGGACTTCTCGGGCTGTAACCAAGCAAAGAAATTCTTGGTCGACTAAAACCCTGAAAGTTTTGACCAAATATCCACTAATTGTGGTGGTGGGGGGGTTCCAACTCTGACAGCAAATCCTTCTGTGGCGGGGGACGTCCGGCTCAGCAGAGCGCGGCTCGGTGGGGTGAAAGCATACTGATATCAGCACAAGAAAGCAATTAAACACAAATATAACATGCACTAAACCACCGGACGTTGATTAACATGGACACTCTTTAATCTTCCTGTCTCCAGCTGGTCTCCAGTGGGTTGGGCAAATCCAAAATGGTGAAAACAAGGGGGTTGTTCTGAGACAGACTGTTACCTGTGAAACGGAGGTGCTCTGAAAACACCCCCATTAGCACTTGGTACGTTCCTCCTTTTGAAATTAACCATAGACTGTAAACTGACGCGGAAAAAAACGAGTCGACCAATCAGAATTTTGGTCGACTCAGCACATATTGACCAATAAGTCGACTGGGACTTTACAGCCCTGCAACTGTCACAGTCCTTGCGTCAAGCTCCTCTTGAACCAGAGACATCGTCAGAGGCATCTTACTTGGGCTAAGGACAAAAAGGACTGGGCTGTTGCTTGGTGGTCCAAAGTCCTTTTTTCAGACGAAAGTAGTCTGGAGGAAGAGAGGAAAGGCACAGAATCCAGGCTACTTGAGGTCCAGAGTAAAGTTTCCTCAGCCAGAGATGGTTTGGGGAGCCCTGTCATCTGCTGGTGTTGGTCGTTTCATAGCACTTCCTGTTTCCCTCTGCTAACCAGCTTTATGGAGATGCTGATTTCATTTTCCAGCAGGACTTGCCATCTGCCCACACTGTGAAAAGTAACAACACCTGGTTCAGGGACCATAGCATCCTTGTGGTAGATTGGCCAGCAAACTCACCTGATCCAAATCCCATAGAGAACCTAAGTGGAGAGAAGGCTGTGAGACACCAGACCCAAAGAAGAGCTGAGGGGGAATTTATATGAGTTTCCCCTTTTTGAATTCAATTATGAAATAATTCAACTTTTTGATGATATTCTAATTTATTGAGATACACCTGTAGATAAGCCATCAGCATGTCAGCATCCCCACAATTATACACTGTACGTAGCTCATCACACAGTTTGTAGCAGACATCCTGTGTCAGAGGGTGAAGATACAATCTTAATGTCCTTTAGCAAAATGTCTCATTAACATTGTTAACTTGTGCGGTCGTCACAATGTGCTGTAGCAGCCTGTTGTTAGATAATCACCAGATAAGAAGCAGTGAGGGAGAGGATGCCTGAGAGCAAACGTGCCTTCACTGAGTCCCTCATAGCACAGGCTTTTCTCATTTCACATGGCGGGAAATTTCAGGCTTTGGAAAAAAACACCCACCCATTATCCTTCTGAGAGGATTCTTGATGCACTCTGTGATTATAGGCCATTGAGGGGGACAAATAAACAGCATGAAAGTGTCAGATCAGCTGTTTGTTCCCAACCTCTTACCATCAGATCCTGTAATTCTCCTCACACTGGTTTATATTTCCATACATAACTTATTTGAGATGTAAACAGGAAGGAAGTTGTAAAAGCAAAGTGTCCAAAAGTTGTTTTTATGCACGGTGTGGTCCTACTAAGAAAATGCAAATGAAGCATACGTGTACTTTAGCCTTCGTACACCCTCATGGCCAAACCCCTGGCTGCCCTGCTCTAGCCGCTCTGCTGTTCCACTTGGCATGATCACTATCATTACTCGCCACTTAGCTTCTGCCCAGCAGCCTCTCAGCAATATTTCCCATCCTCCCCACTTGTTCACCTACTCCTCCCCACCCTGCCCTCCCCATGCTCTCCCCGCTCACTTTACCCGCCCCCTACAGTCACCTTTCTGCTGCACTCTGCCGCCGCCTGCTCTGCTGGCTGCTGTGACATTTGCCATTTAGATGAGGGAAGAGGGATGAACCTTTATCCAATCTCTGACCTTTCCCCTCCTTCTTTCTCTCTGTGGTAATTGACACATTCTCTGCCAACTAAACTAACAATCAATCTCACCGCCAAAAGAAAAGGATATCATATATTAGATATGTAAAAAGTATATTTTGTATTTGTCTGAGCTGTGTTCCCTATGTCTAATGATATTTACCTGATAACCTGTCTGAACTTCGATGCTAACTTGCCTACTTAATGCAGGTAACTTACTGAAGCAGTAAAGGTTAATGAATGCTCATTGAATGCCACATGCCAGGAGCCGCTTAGGGGCATTATGTATTCAGCTTATTCAGTAGTTGGCCTGCTCATGATCTACTGTACTTTTTCTGTCCACAGCAGAGCTAGGAGACATATCCTCTTGAGATGGTATAAATATCTCATTATGGCTGGATGTGAAGGACAAGTGTTTAAAGTTAAAACCCTTGGCTATATTGTTACTAAATACTCCACAGCTAGAGCAGTTAAACAGCCATTATAATCGGGCCGTAACCCAACAGCCTGAAGTAGTTGAAGAGGACCCGTGAGTTCCGAAGTGTTCTCCAAGATGAAGCTTACCGGACATGTCAAAGCCAGACTCCTCCAACAATCACCTTGTCAAAGCTGTGATCTCCCTTTCCTTCCCTCCAGCAGCGGCAGCGGGGTGCTGGTGACACATATGGCCAATTATAGGTGGAAGTGGAGAAGATGATGTGAGCTGAAAGCTTGTTCACACGTGGCGGGTGTCCAGACAGCCAGGGGGCTGCATGGTAGAGGGCTGTAGGGTAGAAAAAACTCGTCAATATCTCTCTTTCCTTTCCTTTTTCTTTTCCTTTCCCTTCCTTTCCTTTCCTCTCCATTCATCCACCGATCTGTGGCGAATCAAAGACTACTTTTTAGCCAATCGATACTGCCCCTTAACTCCCCTTTATTACTCGGCAGCCAGAATGAGGGTTAGAGAGGGAGATGCAATATTCAGTTCATAAATCATGCAGTAAAAAAATGTCAGGGGGGTAATTGTGGTTTTCTCACACCCTTTAAAGGGAGGCAGATTTTATTAGTGGGTTAACGTCGCCCGCCGACCCTCATTCCTTCTCATTATGGTCTTATGGAGGCATCATCAAACCTTAAACGTTACAGCACTTCTCAGCTCACTCTGGCCTCGTTTCTCAGACACACACACCTCTGCTGAACATGCTGATACTCCAACATTGTGAGTGGCACTAAACCGGATCTACTCCATAAAAAGCCTTGTTTGTTTGAAATAAATGACAGGAATGTGTTGGTCAAACTCATTTTCTTTGCTTTTTTAGTCTTAATCATTGATGTGTTTTTGTTTTTTATTCGGATCCCCTTTACACCACGAGTTTCCTGCACAAATAAAAAGCCTCTTTTCTATGAGCAGATTCGTAGCACAAATAAGTGGAATGATTACCTCATTATAGTGCCACAGAGTGCTGTTTTCTGTAGGTCTTTCCCTCTTTTTTTCAGTGCTCTCCTCTCTCTATCCAATGAATATCAATTGGACAATAATTTTCCACTACATCCCCAAGTTGCAGCGTTTTTGTCACATCTTTTAGTGATTAAATGGATCGATTTCAGTTCTCCGTGGGTGATTAATCCCACAGGGTTAGAGAGATTACAGAGAGAGAGCCACAGGGAAGCCTTCTTAATGGATTCACACAGAGAGACTTCTATTCATAGGGGCTAATGAGATTGGATTACAGGAGCAGGGCTTCCAAGAGGAGAGGGAAAACTCTCGAGAGAAGTATCATGTCTGATGGGATAGGATTTAAGTAAAAAATGGTTTAAAGGAAAAAGAATGACTCCTCTCGCTGTGCCATCTGAGTGACCCTTCCTGTTGTTTTCCTGAGAAGTACTCGACACCTGCTCAGCTGGTGGGGGTTCGTACTTCAGCGCTTATCTCATGTGAGTTTCTTGCAGTTTAGCCTCAAGTGTGATTGATCACAGTCATTATTGGTCAGTGGGACGGGTGAAAAGTGCAAGGGATGGTTACTGCGAGCGACTGCAGCGACTGCATTCCTTTGGGCGTCCCACATCACCTATGCCGGAGAGAGCTGGTGATGCTGGGGCGGTAAAGGTGTCCGGGTGGTGGGGAAAATGGGCGGACCTTAGAGTCAGAGGCTCATATCTGTGCTTCACAGCTGGACATGGAAGCAAGAGGGGAAAGCTGTGACACTTATGGTCCAAAGGACTGGAACTCTCCCCCAGCCTGGTGATATGTGTCACGTCTCACAGCTTCAAACCTCCTCCAAAGCTCTGGCAGATCCCAGTGGGAAACGGCAACCGTCCATACACTTCATGGCTGGGGAGGTGGGCAGCAGAGAGATTGCAAGAGAAGCGTGTTGTTGCGTTTTAAAACACATGTATGACCCACAGGGAGGAGATCGGAGGCCCCAATCACAAGCAGAGGTCATCCATGTCACTGCGAGGGAATAGGAGGCGAAGCTAGCCATAGCCGGTTACTCCAGGTCAGTGCACAACGATAGCCCCATTTTATGTGGAGTGTGTGGACTAAATGCCCACGGAGAGTAACAGATTACAGAGCGGGAAGCACATTCTTTAATCTTCTTCTGGTCTCTCCATGTATGTAGGCCTGGAAAACCATTTGAGTGTGTCCTTGTGGTGTTTGCTGTGTTTTTCATAATGACTGTAAATCTTTTTTTCAAGCCCACTTGGTCACAGAACAACAGCTGTTTGTCACTACTAGAAGGTATCACTCCACACTGAACAACAAACAGATGAGAGCTGTTTATCAGACTGAAATGAGGAACAACTATTCACTAGAAAAGGGTCATAAATAAATCAAATCCCCAAGTTTGTGTATTTAATTAATAATTAATACTGCAGGAAAGTGAAGAAATACACACAAACATCTCCTCCTCTGTCCCTCTCTCACACACACACACTTAAAAAACCTCCACAAGTCAAGATTTCTCACTCTCTTTGTCTGGATGTGGTGTGGAGACAGATCACAGGACACATTTATTTTAGAGACTTTGCTCCATGTTTGGTATCGGTCATATCAGTTTCATCAAATGAGTAGTGACAGGTCAAGGGGGGCAATGAAGAAGAAAACAGCGCCTGAGGGAAACATGTCTCTCTCCATGGAGCGAAGGGCGTCGCTGACAGGAAACTGTGGAGCAACTAAAAACATAGAGAAGCATCCGCTCGCCCTCAGCAAGGAGCCACAAACTGTCCCTGGCTCACCCTGTCTTCTGCTGCTGCAGTGTCAGGATCCCCCTGACATCACTGCAGGACATCACTGTGTGAAACACACGCTTTGACACACAAACACACACACAAAAACACACACACAGAAACATTTGATCAACACAGTGCAGTTCTGCTCATAAGTATTAACTGTGTAAATGCTCAGTTAATCATAAATATATGTATGACTTTGTCGTGCATGTGTGGGAACAACATCATCAATTAATAACAAGTGTATACAATCAACCGTCTGATCAACCGTCACTAATTAGTTCACCATTAATATCAATTAGCCTATTTATTAATGCTGTTCATTCATGTGTTCATCACCAGAATGGATTGAAAAGAAATATGTTCTTGTATATATAAGTGTATATGGTACAACAGTGTGTTAGGGCCACGTTAAGGGAAAAAAAAAGAGAATAATGACAAAAAGATTACAAGAATCAGGTCATAATGTAAAACAAAGTCTTTGTGTTAGGAGAATGAAAGTGTCAAATTCAGAGTTTAGAGGCATAATTTCATTTGAATACTGTGAGAAAAGAGAGGAGACAGTTTATGTACAGTATAATGTGTGTTACTGCTGTTGTGAATGGGGATGCTGGATGAGCACGAGTGTTCTCCCTCTCTCTCTCTCTCTCTGCAGCGCTGGAGGTACGGCGGGAGGTGGGGCTGGCCTGGACTGATTGCACGCACCTGATTCTCGTTGGTGTCATTTACCTGGCTTTATATGCCGGCTCCTCTGTCGGCTCTGTGCCGGATGATTATCCAGTCATGCAACACATGTCTTGCCATGCCGAGCTCCCTGTTCACCTGCCTGTGTATCCAGCCTACCTTTTTGTGTTGTTTGTGAGGTTTTTTTTGTTACTTTCATAGGATTTTTCTCTTGAGCAAGGGTGATTTTGTGTTCGTGTTTTTTCCCTCCAGTTGAGGAGATTTTTGGTTTACATTTCTGTTGCACTTTGTCCTTTTATACTCCCTTAGTTGCTACTTGCCCCATGTGGCACTATCATTTGAACTTTGTTTTCACCAGCCATTTGCCTTACTGCAGTGACTTTTCCCTGACTCTGGTTTTGTGTTTTTCAGTGGCAGTCCGAGCCTACCGTGCCTTTTCCCGGAAGTGGCAATTTTCTGTTGTTCACTTTGTTTTTTGTTTATTGTCAATAAATTTGGGCATTTGTCTCTACATTTTTGGATCCTGGCCTTTGTTCGATTCATAACACTGATAGTCTCTCCCATTCAAAACAGGCCAGCTGTTAACCCAGACCAGTGATTCTCAAGTCCAGTCCTCAAGGCCCACTGTCCCGCATGTTTTGGATGTTTCCTTCCTTCAACACACCTGATTCAAATGATTAGCTCGTTATCTGTAATGGCTTAATAACGAGCTGATCATTGAATCAGGTGTGTTGGAGCAGGGAAACATCCAAAACATGCAGCACATTGGGCCTCAAGGACTGGCCTTGAGAACCACTGACCTAGACAACAAAACTACGACTTTATTGTCATCACTCTTGACTTTATTCTTATATTTTAATGATACAAAGACTTCATTTTCATCATATTACTTTATCACAATTCTTTTTTTCTTTTACTATACTAGGACTAAATGGTTCTATTGATTGTATGATTTTCCTAAATTATAACTTTAATTCAACTCTGCACAATGAAAAATCTGACTGTATTCTCTTACACAATGACTTTGCTGCAACTTTATTCTCTTATATTATGACTTTTTTATGACTGTACTCTCATAATATTTTATAATATGGTGTTGTGCATTCAAGTAATTTTTTTTTTTTTGTCATTTATTTTTCAGTCTTGATGCTAATTCTGCTGGCAGCTTAATGTTAATTTACTGTATATGTTAGCATCAAGCTAATGAGTTCAGTACTTATGAATGCAGCAGTTTTGCTAACATTAGGTGTAGTCATTTAAGCCGTCTCTACTATCTCAAAACCCCATATTTAACTCTCGGCTTTTTAGCTTGGTTTGCCAAAACATACTGTAAATTACAATTTACAGAATTCACTATTAATGGCTTATCAGAATTAGCATCACAATTGTGGTCATTTTGGGTAAACTCTCTATTTATACTCAAACATAATCAAGAAAAAACAGAATGTGGGCTCACTGATATTTGGGGAAATATATTCCCTGTCAACCCATGAGTTAACAGCATTAGTTAATACTAGATTAATCAAATAGTAAATGAAGTAACAGAAAGCTGTATATATTCAGACTGTCAGTGATATCATAACCTCCTAATAAATTGATGATGTGGTAATCAATGATGCATCAACTCATGATTAACTGAATAAAACTGAGCATAAATGCTTATGAGTTGAATAGAATTGTAAAGTGTTACCATTTGGTCCACTTCATAATGCAATAACTACAACAGCCTGGTGTGGAGAGAGGGGATATGAGGAGCCTCACGTGTCAAAACTGAACATCTTTAAGTTATATCTTAGTCAAACAGCACCACATTCATAAAATTGTCTAATGCTCATTTATCCTTAAATGTCTCAGAGAAAGTAAAAACAGATGCCCCCCAAAGCTTCAAAACTTACTCCATTTTAGTTTTACTTCAGTATCCATTTGATTCAGTGGTGTCTCGCAGACCAATTCCCTGCAAACAAAGGCAGATAATATCAAATTCAGAACACTATTACATTGCTGGTGTGCCAGAATGAAAAAAACTGGACTGAGACTTCAACAAAATGAGACTCAAAATGTTCTTGTTTCCAGCAGGTTGTAGTCTGTGAGCTGCACCTGTGATGTTGCGTCACAGTCGAATGCAAATCCAGGAGAGAGGGGGAATCCTTATACAGTGATAGTCCTCAATAATTCTTTAACTTGGCTTCCCCCTGCAGAAAAAATGATAAAATATTACTTTAAAATATCTGCAGTGTAATAACCAGAAACAAACTTCATACAAACTCTTAGGTGTCACTTTCACGATATGAGGAAATATATTTACAGACAGGTTTATTACTCACATGAGTCACAAATCTGGGTGAGCTGAGTTTTGCAGTAACCCAGGGTGATGTTTTTTTTGGAATCCAGTCCAAGGTTAGTTTAGTGTCACACACTTCTGACGTCAGTGTGTTGCAGTTATGGGGGCTAATTATGGAGCAACACAGGGGGATTTCTGCCTCCAGTGAAAGCAGCACATGTGGGGAGGTAAGTCAGGCTGCTGACTCCTTCAAAAACTGTCTGTCTGAGTGAAACACTCCTATACACGGTATATAGAGTACAACACACACCCCATACTCACAAACCTAGCCTATATTTTTTTTGCAGTGCAGGATGTCTCCAGGTAGAGAGGCAAGAGTTTTCCCTCAGTTGCAGAAGCCATTAGTCAGAATGGAGGTGATTTATGGGTTGTCTCCTTGCAGAATTTAAATTAACTGCTATGCTGTACGCTGCAAGGAGGGAGGGTACGAGTGCTTTTTGGGTCGCTCCCCTTTGCACCCCACTTCACTGTTTCTCTCCCTGCCTCTCTCACCTTCAATCTCACAGGAGAAATTTTGAACATTTTTTTTGAAAATCCAGGCGTGCTTTCAGGTGGTTGACTTATCCTCGGATCTCCAAAGATTTCACAGCAGGTCAAATGAAAACGTTATTTTCTTAGAGAGGCAAAATTAAGCAGAACTTTAATCAAAAATGAATCCTGAGCTGAAGATGCTTTGTGGTATGGATCAGTAAAGATTTACCGTTAAAGCTCTAGAAATGTAAATGAATCCTTCTTTTTACAGACATGTCCCTCTGTTTTCACGAACAGTGTTTCCCCTACTTATTTTTTAGTGATTAATAATAAATGTAGAGCTACAGCATTAGTAATCATGGCTTTCTCATTATTTCAGGATGTGCTCTCTCTGCTCCTAGATCCATATTAATGATTTTCATATTAATGATGTTTTGTATTGTACTCTCTGCTTTGGCTGTATGATATATAACCCAGCAGGTTGGTGGCGTGACACTGGAGCTTAAGGGACAGCAACTTCAGAGTTTGTCAGAAATTCCCTCCACGCTCTTCTTCCAGAAGACCCTCATATACATAAATACATACTTCTTGCATAATACGTAATGCTGCGTGAATGGATAAGTCGTGATATGGAGCGGCAGGGTGGGATGTGTAGCTGGCTTGGGTTGGAGGTTGGAGGTCGGGGGCCCACGGGTGACTGGCAGCTAGAGGCAAGAGGGCGGATGTTGGAGCAAGGGGGTTGGGGAATGAGGATAACTTCATGTGACATTGCACTGTAAGAAACCCAGAGTGTTTCACATGACAGATTAGTGTTGTGGATTCACGCCCAGTTTACTTTTACTTGATTTTCTTCATAGATGAGGAGCTTTACTGTATGTTTTATGTTCACTTCACTGTACTATCTTTCTGTGCTGCTAGGAGATAAGCAGCTTTATTGCTTTTCCCACAAAAAAAACATGGAAAGCCAAACACACACACACACACACACACACACACACACACACACACACACACACACACACACACACACACACACACACCTCCTGACTTCCTCCTGTAGGCTCAATTGGCTCACAGTGAAATATGTTGTGATTTCATTATGCATCTGTTTCCTCTATAAGAGCCTGACCTTTAGTGTACTTGTAACCATCTTTCTGCGGCTGAGCTAAAAGAGGGATGCAATTATCGCCTTTATAAGTTATTGGCTTTAATATTTATAACCGTGCAAGGTGATACATTCATCATTTTTGCATAATTTACAATAATTTCAAGCTCTCTGGGGTTTATTTAAGGACACAATTAGAGGACGAAAGCAATGCAGGTGCACATAGCAAAGGATAAATAAACTTTAAACATGACCAGAAAGGACAAGCTAAGGTTAAATATGTTTAACCTTTTAACATCAAATCCAAGCTCAAATTTACGGTCAAATTCACAAATTTGAGTCACAAAAAAATAAAACACTTCTAAAATTTCTAGCATAAATCTATGTCAAATGGTATGTCAGACATACAGTATTTTAAGAGGAAGTGTTTTTCTTTGAGGGATACATGCTAAGACTGATCAAAAGATCCAGGCAGCTAACGTGTCTAAGAGTTATGGGCACATTACCAAAATGTTGAAATAGCAGCATTTACTCATAACTGAATCTCTAATTGAGTTGATCTATTATAATAGTAATTAGTTACTTTGAATAGTCCCCTGCCACTCATCTCAGTGGCCTTTTGCTTATTAATTCTGTGGAAGCAGCAGAAATTAATAGTCCCTTTTGGGGCAGACATCACAAAGTATAAGCTGGAGGCAAATAAATAAATAAATAAATAAAGGTTAAATTGGAGGCAAATACATGTCACCTGCACAGAGTGGAAAGTTTATATAAATGCCATCTTTAAGTGTTGTTGGGAGCCTAAACAGAAAGAGGCTAAGTATATTTTTCAAAACTAAAATTAAACTACAAACCAGATGCCACTGCCCATCAATAAAAATGAGACTTTTTTTGTCGTTTTTGCTTTGTGTCATTTGTGTAATTGCAGTACTTCTGAATGCAGATGTATTGGCTTTTCGCAGCACGTTTTTTTCATCTGTTGCGTGTTTCCATCATTGTGTTTGTTCTGGACATTTGCTTGTGTTTTTGAAGTCGTGCACCTTTCTCTTGATGATGATCATTCGGGCTGTTGCAGACTGTTTACCATGGACTGTATATAGAATGGAAAGCATCTGCCTCCTCACTGGGTGAAGCCACTGCAAGAACAGCACCTTCTGGTGACGTGCTGCAGTATAGGTCATAAATCCCGCCTCCTCCAGCAATCACCATAAAGCTGTGGACAAACTTCAGAAATTAATTACACAAAATATAAATTTTCTCCCCCTGCTTGTGATGTTGATATTTCCGTTATTGTAAGACTGGTTTGTGCTCAAGTTTTTTTTTTTTTTTCTGTGCAGCTCCATTATAAAACGTTATTAGGGGGTTCATGTTTTCTGTAATTGACACTTGATACAGCCATTAGACTTTACAACTATTCTGTGAATAGTGGATAACTTTTAGAGACATGACAAATGAGAGACAATTGGATTTCCCTTCGGGGATCAATACAGTTATTCTCATTCTTATTCTTATACAGCCTATGGGTATATGAAGATCGTGTAGCTCACCCGCGGATACACTGTTTGAGCAGAGCATCGTTACAGCGACTCTTGGTGATTCATCCATCCAACACATACAATGCTACTGTGCAAGTGGTGGTTCCAGGAAGTGGAGAAAATCCTGGAAATACCGAGAACAATTCAGCTTCAACTTTGTATAATAACAGAAGGTGGAGCCTAGTTGTCCATAGTATATATAGTTGATGCTGTTAGTCTATCCCTAACCCTTGTCTTGCACCTAAACCTCAGTCTGTCTGATACGGTCTTTCCTGGCTTTGAATACGTGAGCTTATGGATTTTTCCCGTCTTTGAGTGGCACGATTATTGCTATCGGGTCACTACACTGACTACAGAGTGTGTCATATCTGTTAAACACATGAACATCATCTATGTGTTTGTTCATGAATGCTTCCAAATCAGCTTCCAACAAAAGCTCATCCATTTCATGTTTTCCAAGCTTTGACGTCTGTTGCAAGAATTGGTGAGACTGACTCATCTATGAAGGCTGTTATCATTGGCTTGCCTCTATGGTGCATGTTTGCTCCTTAGACCAGTCTCTGAGCTCCCCACCCTGACTTCTCGAGGTGATGGGTTGTCTTTTGGTGTTGTATACCCGTAATAGACCACCCTGTCTCACACTGCTTCTCCTCAGCTTGCCTAAGTGTCTGTCTTGCCTTTAGACTTGTAATGCTAACTAATGATTGTCTCATTTCACTCTGCACTCTTTGTAAACTCTTCTCTGTCTCTGTCTGTCCCTCAAACCAAACAATTTTGCTGTCAGATCAACTCCACTTCCTCCCACTTTTCCTGTCTTAACCTCACAGGCCCCTATGAAAAAAATCTGTTGTCTTTGCTGTCTGTTCTTTGGCTTTCCTCAATCTACCTCCACCTGGTGAAAAAGCACTTCTAATCCATTCACTCTCCTTAATGGAGCAAGAGAGAATTTTAATACACAACAGAAACACATTAGATTTGATAACTTACTCCTGACTCTCTTCTTCCTCCTGTCTTTCACCTCTGGGTAACTTGTCAGCTCCAAAGGAGCTTGATCGTCTTCCCTAAGGAAAAAGGATATTCCTCCATGGTTTCTCTGTTGCAGACCTGCCATGCTGGGGGCAGGACCGGGCCACACAGCCTTCGATGGACTCCAGCTGAGGTTTCGACAGGCTCCTGTCTTCATGCCTGGATGGAAAAGAAAATGCCCAGGGACTCAGACAAGGAGGAGAAAAATCACACAAAAATAGACACAGTGCTGCTGACACAAAGGAGTACTGGCATTATTCAGTTTTCAAGACAAATTGAGTTACGTGTAAGGTATTAATTTACCCTGTATTGTCCTTTATCTATCTTTATGATTGAAAAATTACGCGTCATTCGTCATGTCTGCTTTTCCAAATTACAAACAAAATATAGTAAATTCTACAAACACCGGGATGTGTCTCAAGACTGCACATTCTGACCTTTTTGTCATGCAGCATCCAAATCAGAGGTGAGTTCAGAAGCTGAGCTGAGCAGAGAGCAATATGAAGTGTTTAGCCAGGAGATGAGTTTTCAGTTCACGCTGAGAGTGACGCTGCAGTCCTGGCCGAGGTGGAAAGGTCAGCCTATCATTTGGGAGCCTGGAGGGAGAGGAGTCAAGACAGAGTGAAGCCACAACCGACTCACTGCTGGCAAGGCAGGTTAAGGGAAGTATGCGTGAATCACACACAAACCTACACACACACACACATATATTTTACAGCACAGTCTCAAAAACAACTAAATATATTAGCCAGCTTGCAATTTTGTATACTCTTGCACTCTCTGCAGATTGAAGGATGAAGAGTTAAATAGTTTCCCTGAAGCTTTTGCTGTTCAGTCAAGGGAGGAAGACTTTGTGTAAACAAAAGTTAAAGATCAAGTCCCGTTCATGGGTGACAAAAATCAGACTTTTCTGCACATCTTCACTAAATTGTTTGCACAGAATTACACTCTGAGCGTGTCTGTGTAATCAGCTAGCAAATACTTTGTAATCCTGCATACAACATGCAACTGTAATGATCTGCCCGTTGCACCAAAAACATGTCATGCAATAAGTCTGATTATTTTGCACATGTGACATCACATGTAAAGTGATGACATGACATTTTAGTCGCTTCTGCATCAGTATCCTGCGCGCAAACACGAACCTCTCAAACATGAAGGATCCCTGGGATTAGAGTCCATAAGTGGATCTCCGCCTTGTAAAGTCAGATTTATCATGTCTTGTAAGAATGCAAAGCTGTCACATGCTTTAGTGAACAGGACAGATATCAGGCTTGATAGGAGCATGGCTGCTGTAGTGAGGAGAAACACACAGCCTCAGGGTATTTTATATGAGTGTGTGTGTGCATGTGTGTGTGTGTGTGTGTTTTCTCTGGAGTCATGTCCTTCACTGTTTCTGCATCACCTGGATATTCTGTGCATTTCAGTGCACGTCAGCAAGAAATCGCTGAGGCAGGGGAGGCTTAAAGCAAATACATATTAATTTTCTCAGCGTACACACACACGTATATACTTTTATATATGAAAAAAATACTCCTCCCCTGACTCAAAGATTGCCCTCTTCAGCCTTCTCCTTCTGTCATGGACGAAAAAGAAAAAAAAAAAAAGGAAAGATGAAAACAAAAACACACACATACACATTCTCACTCACAGTCTAATTCCACAGACACTTTGCAAAAGCGGTGAGCAATTCCCCTCCAAACTCAGCCTTTTTTCCTGTCCCATTCACCTTTGAATGCACAAATGCACCATCTCTCGCCTCATTCACCATCTTCAATTTTGACTTCCTCTGCCTTGCTTTCTTTGTTTTGTACCCCCCCGTCTCTCTCCTCTCCCCTCCCCATCTCCAAACCACCTCAGTCTGTGCCAAGCAGTCACAGCAGTGGCTTGATCCTGGCACTTATGAAAGGAGCTCTTTGATAAGTCTCGGCCAGGAGCAACACAAGGGAAGCAATCAGAGACTCAAACTCAACCAGAGATGAGGCTTCTTCTGCGTTTGCTGGTGTGTTTGTGATGTTGTTTTGTTTCTTTGACCTGTTAAACTTTCCTCTTGGAAAAAAAAAAATCCATAAAAGTCTGTTTTTTTTTTCCAACTCTCTCCTGTTTTGTGGTTTTCCCTTGTGCACCTCTGAAAATTGTGAAAACACATTTGTTCTGCCTCCCCTTTTCTTTGTAACCAGGGAGAACAACAAAGTGATTAAAGCTTTTGAGGTGTGTTTGGATGCAGCGGATGCTTGGACCCGCTGCCATTGAGGTTGCAGTTTCCTGTTTTTTGCCTTGTCCCTACATCTGCTCACTTATTTATTTTCCAAAGCCGCCTTTCTCATCAGGTAATGATCTGCTGTGCTGCATACTAATCGGTCAAAGTCCTGTTTAATTTTAATTAACACAAGTGTTAAAGAAAATACTCACCTAAAGTTGTTTTTCAGATCTACTGTTTGGTCACCATCCTTTAAGCTCAAGCCTGAAATTAACTCTGACAGGGTTTCTAGTTAATGGTAGAATTATGTGAAGATCAAATGTGAAGAAAAGACTAATACTGGTTATAATCTATTTAAATTTACAGTTTTTCTCATACCCCCTGCTGGAAACCACTGGAGGTGCAAAAAAACCCAACAAAAACTGCAGATCCTCATGTGTCCACTAGAGGCTGGCATCAAAAGTCTGGAGAAGCCCATTAGCGCCAATGTTAGTGAGCCAATTTTCAAACAAACTCAAAGAAACATAAAAACAGCCTGTCTTGAAACTGACTGGTCTTTTTGTCTCAATAATGAATCAACTACTAGTAAAATATGATAAACCAAGCAACTAGTGACTCTTAATTAAAAATTAGCTTCACAACATCAAAGCTATGTCCCAAAGAAATGGTGCAAGCTAGGCTACGGCGCTTCAGCAAAAGTAGTTTAGCTATAATGAAGCTATTTTCATATATTCTTTTTTTTCAATATGATTTTATGCATTTTTACCTGTTTATTTATTATTGTATTATTGTTATTGTTGTTGTGATTTAGTAGTTTAAATCTGACTGACTTTCTCCCTGATAGTGGCAGTTTAGTAACTAGTGATTGACACAGATTGCCTATATGGATTTAACATATTAATCATTAAATATGTATAAATATTTCCCACAGTCAAAGTGATGACTGGTGTAAACATTCTTAAAACCTTGTCTCTCTCATCACAGACTAATAGGCTCAGGATATTCATGAATGGCTAATAATAGTATGCATAGATTAACACATAAAAGTCCTTGGTACTTAAAAGTACATAGGAAAATGCTTTGAAAATAGTTTTGAATTTATAAACTCAGTGGGAAATCCATGTTTGAATCATTATTTTGATTGTCATTGTATATGACAGATGCACACTCACCAGCCACTTTATTACTATTTATTGCTAGTGCCAGGTTGGAACTGCTTTTACCCAAGAACTGCCTTAATTCTTTGTGGCATCCTTTCAACAAAGTGTTGGAAACATTCCTTAGAGGTTTTGCTCTATAGTATTAAAATGAGAGCATCTCGCAGGTGCTGCAGATTTTTTGGCTGCACATCCACGATGCCACTCTCCTGTTCCACCACATTCCAAAGAGGCTCTATTGCACTGAGATCTGGTGACTGTGGAGACCACTGGAGAACAGTTTCATGTTTAAGAAACCAGTTTGAGAGAATTTGAGCTTTGTGACATGGTGCATTATCCTGCTGGAAGTAACCATCAGCAGATGGATACGCTGTGGTCATAAAAAGACGGACATGGTCGGCAACAAGACCCAGGTAGGCTGTAATGTTTAAATGATACGAAGGGGCCCAAAGTGTGCCAAAAAAACACCCCCCACACCATCACACCACTACCACCACCAGCCTGAACTGTAGATACAGGTCAGGATGGACCCATGTTTACATATTGTTTAGGCCAAATTCTGACTACCATCTGGATGTTGCAGCTGAAATCTACATACTAATTCATTGTGCCCGTGTTTTATACCTGAGACCCTATGTGAGCTTTCTTACACCCTGATCAGCTGACAGCAAAAACAGTGATCAAAATGGGTAAATCAATTTACTGTCTGGCTTTGCTTGTCTGTCTCCTCGAAGCTAAATTCCAGCATGGTGGACCACCAAGCTACTTATAATGTAGTCAAGCCACTAATGTTGTAATTTGTAATGCTGTCACTGCTCATCACTGGCCTCATGTATTCATTAGCAACAATTGTATGGTAGCCTATGACTTTTATCTTGGAACCTTTTTTGTAATGTGGTTAAAAAGGGACTGACTGATTTGACTGTCAGGTGGGTTACCGACATGGCAGCTGTTTGCTAGTTAGCTTGATTTAGACCATAATTCTGGATTACATAAAAATGATAAAATCACAAAAAAAACCCACTAAGTGTTGAACATAATCAGGAACTTTTCAACCCCTCCACAGTCTTGAAAACTGTATATTTTTTCAAATATGGGTTTTTCTTACTACAAGATAGAAATCAAGCGCATTACAAACATTGGATTGAAAATGAAATCTCTGCAAATACGGAAATGCCACCAAAAAAGATGGGAAATATTTGTCTCACTGTAGAGGGATTTTTCCAAGTCTGCCAAATGGTTATTTATGTAAACAGCTTATTATTTGTGTGACATGTTACCATGGTTACATCAAGTTCCCTCTTCTGACAGCAAGTGGAGTCTGTCTCAAAGCTTGCAGCTGTTCCTGATCCCTCCACCTCGATTGAGGATGCTCCAATACAGCTGTGGGTGTGACTTCAAATGGGGTGCACTCTGTTTGCAGTTTACTTTTTAAAAGACAAACAAGTATTAAAAGTGTGTCTTATGCAACAAATTTTACAGTAAATAAAAACACTGTGAAGTCCATTTCTTTCATTGACTGTTTTATTGGAATACTTTAACTATACCTATTTTTTGTCTGTATACAAAATGGGCATATTTTTAGTGGTATGTTGCAGCAGCTGCCCATATTAACCAATCCTAGGAGGATTAACACCCAACTCGGTTCTATCTAAGAAGTCTTTTGTTACCATTCAGCTCATTGTTTGAGTTTTAAAAGCCATAAGCTGCTTTTGCAGTGTGGCACAGCAGACAAATACAGTCCTGCACCAGTTTGTCAACATAGTAAAGCACTTAGCAACTGAAGAGCCAATGCAATCTGTATGGAGATGGTGGAGACCAAATTGGAAGTTCCCCACAGGAGCTTTAAAAATGACTTGATATGCATCGTTTTTCAGTCCTGTTTGTTCTCCTTGGCTTGTGTACTCCGGCCTTTGTACCATTTATGTCTTTGTTTTAGCTTTTTGAGGTTTTGTCTCTGGGTTTGCAGTGTGTATCCACTTAAACTGCATAACAATGCACAACCAGTGCACAAGAAAATAATTGACCTGCTGTATGCTGTGAACAGGAACTTTTTGATCCCCACCCTACATTGCCTCTGAAAAGATTTGACTTACTGATACTTTGATAATCTGTATCTACCACACGCAACAATTCAGGGTTTCAAAACATGTCAGTTACATTTCGACACCACCGATACTCATGAAATTTCCATAAGTTTGAACAAACCAGCCACAGTGATGTAAAACTGAGCTGTCATGACAGTTTACTCCTTCTCCACGATGTACTTCTTCCTACCTCTGCCTCTCCGTTTCTCCATCCCCATCCTTCTCATCTGTCTTTCATCGCTATCATGCTCTGTTTGTCCTCTCTGGTGTGCATTGATCTCTCTGGTTCAGAGATTTAGAGATTTGGGGCACAGTGATCTGACTGGCAGTTACAGCCAGCAGGTGTGAAGAACAAACAATGCCCCCCTAAACAAACCCAAAAACCAATTTAGGGTTTGTGTGCTTCCTTATATAGACAAACTCTATGTCTGATATGAGGAATAAAACTAAACAGGCAAATATGCATTGGAGGCACACCTGGTGTGCCAGTTATTTGTGTACGTCACACAAACTCTGCTCAGTGATAAATTAGGTTCCCAACTGGTGATGCCATAAGTTTGTGCTGAAGTTTAATGATGATGAAGAGAGAGAAATGCAGCAAATAACTGGTGATATGTCAAGTGTTGTGGTGACAAATAGTTCAGCATCCTGCTCATTAATCCATCTCAATCCGTCACACGAGCTCAGTCCAACTCACGCACAAACTGTCTCATCAAAGCCAGGAAAAGACAACTTTATGACAGGGACAGCCAGAGTCTTTAGTTTGTTATCCAACAAGAGCACACACGAGCACAAGTTTAAACAGAGAGGCTGAACTGACCCCCTGATGGACGAAATCCACAGGCTCTTAGTCTCTGAAAGCATCGTAGCTAGGGGAGACTGGGGACAGTTGCAACACTTTTTGCATTACTCTCAATTTTTCAGAGATGATTTGGACTAGGTCAACCATTTATTTATGTAGTAAATTTACATCTGTCCTCTAATTCCACATACCGTTTAAATATGATTACATCAAACAGATTTTTCACAATAAAAAAAAAAAAAAAAATCAACTGTTGCAACCAACCCCATTCCTGGGACAGTTACAACATACCACAGATCCATTCATTTTCAATTTTCTTTTTGTCTCAAGAAGCATATTGGTCGGAGAATATGTATTATTTATGATATTATTATGATAATTTCATATACAAAATGTTATAGTGTTATTCATTTATCTAATATCCAATATTGAGTTTTATTTCTTTCTACATAAAACATAGGCCTACGTTGAGTCAATGTGCAGTTGTTACAGATTTCAATGTGAGTAAGTGGATTGTGGATTTTACCAAGATACTAATACAAATCTTGATGCAAATGTAACACTGCATATCATGCAACACTAGCTTGGGGACTAGTTTTGCAACTGTCCCCAAGTGGTTAGCCATGACAAAACACAATGTGCTAACTAAACACACTGTTTTTAACAAATGCTAACCATGTAACTTAGAAATAAACTAAACAACGATTAAAACTAAGTTGTGATTACTTCATGCAAACAGTCACGACTGTATGACACAAATAAACCACATGAAAAAATGTACTTTCATACATCAAAAACAATTTTCTTTCCCAATAAATCCAGAAGATGATGCTAAATGTATATTCTGTCCTGCTGGTGGAGGGGAGGGTCCAACTGAGCATCTGCAGTATCTTTGATTTGATTTGATAATTTTATTTTAGTGTCATACACCAAAATTGGTGCCCAGCCCCATGGACTTATTAGACACTGTTCAACAAACTCAAAACACAATGTATCCAAGACAGCCACGCAACATAATAACATAATATACAACAACAATAACATAAAAAATCCATTAAGAATTGTAACACAAACAATGAGGATAATGAAAGAAAAACAAAAAAGTTCATCCTACAGGGTACAAAATACTTTGCCGCATATGCCAAGCCTTTTCAACAAATTTTGCCAAAACAAAAACATCCTTTTCAAACAACCAACCCAAAATCTCACTTTCACTCTTCCAAAATAAATCAGGATTTTTAAACTGAATTGATTCAAAAATGACATTCCTTAAGTCAACATATAAGGTATCAGTGTCATCAATCTAGCATGTTTCTGATTGGAGGAATAAGCCTTGTTGCAACTGTCTCTTGTTGCAACTGTCCCCAGTCTCCCCTATTTACTCTGAAATACGATGCAGTCATAGCAGGAAAAGCACAAAAAAATGCGACAGTTACAATCTTAACACAATGTATGTTAACAGTAACATCAAAAATATATACTTGACAGTGCATTGAAAACAAACAAGCAGCACTTATTATTGAGACACGACTACAACAGCTGATCATTTAGATTTTTGTGACCTTGAACCCTACATCACTGGGTTGTGTGGTAAGAGCTAGCAGCTGTATTGGCTTCAGTTTTCTGATTCAACGCCAGAGATATCAGAGAATAAACTGCCCGCCTCTGCTGTTTCTACCATCGCCTCTGTGAGGCGAGCACTGACATGAATACTTTTTACCAATTGGCAGTTGACATGAACACGCTGTATTCTTTCCATCCAACTTCTTTGTCCAATAAAAACAAACGAAAAAAAAACACAAAAGTGGGACTTTTTCTGCAAAACAAGACACATTTTTCACACAGTGAATGTTTGTTTGCCATTTACAGACTTTGTCATTTGCTTTCGTTCTTCGCCATTCATCACGTTACGGGATGAAAATGTCAAACAAATGACATCACTGCTGCATATAGATTTTTTTCTCCCAACCAGGACCTTTAATTTGATAAAAACCTGTGAAATCAATAGCTAAAAAAAGTCAGCAATAAGGGTGGATGTCAGCAAATTCATGAGGAAAAGCAGGGTTATTGACACGAGGGGAAGGTAAAACAGGGGGAGAAATAGTTAAAAGTTTGCCAGTGTTGTCGACCTCCACGTGTTGAAGAGATTGCATAAAAAGTTACCCTGTGTGACTTTGCTCTGAGATCTGAAAGAAAGTTTTCATACAGTTCATCTTCATGTGTGATTTATGTCTAATCTACACATCGGCATTCGAACTGTTGGCTTGTGAGAACATTCTTGGCTATAACTTAAGTAATTATCACCTTTTATATTTGAGAAGCTGCGAGCATTTCCTGGCAGATAGAATTTAAGTGTTTTCTTGTGTCTGCGCACATATATGCATGAATCTCTAGAACCCACCTCCAGGAAAGAAAAAAAAGAAAGGTTGTCTTTGCACAGCTCCATCTTTATTTTTAGAGGCTGGATCCTGATAAGAGAGGAGAGAAAGCAAGGGAGTGAGAAACAGCATCAAAAGTAGGGGAGAAAGGAGGGAGAGCAAGCCGGGGAAGAAGAGAGGGATGAAAAAAAAGGGGAAGTGAGATGGTCTGGGGGGGTTGTGTTGGGTCCTCGGAGGCTCTGGAGAGAGGTAGGAAGAAATGCAGTGTGATGAGAGTCCTTCCTCTGAGTGAGTGGAGAGAGCGAGAGAGAAAGAGAGAGAGAGAGAAGAGGGGACGTTGCCACACCAACCCCTCACTCCACAGAGGGGGAGAAGAGGGGCGGAGGAGGGGAGAAGGAGGAGAGGGAGTAGGGGGACTTTGCTGCTCCTGCCGTATAAAAAGCCAAGCCTGAGAATCCGGCACCACAAACTCACCACACATACACACACACACACACATACACACACGGACACACATGCACACTGATCCAGTGGCTGCTCTGTATCTCTCACACTCACCCACTCATCTTCTCTCTTTCTCTCTCTCTCTCTCCCTCTCTCTCCCTCCCTCTCTGTCTCTCTCTCTGTCTCGCTCCCTCTGTCTCTCACTCCACTCCTCTGGGCTCCTCTGCATCCTTGTTGCTTCTTCTCACAAGTCAGATTGTGTTTGTAAGTACGAGCTGGATGTCTTCCTGTGTATGCTTGGCTTTCATTAGCTCCTCATGCATGTGTGAGTGACTGCTCGCCTTCTTTAGTGTGTCTGAGCAGAGCAGAGAGAAGGATCAAGTGTATGTGGGTCTTTGTCTCACCCTCACACACTTGCCGGTCCTCTTGCAACTCTTCACGGGATCTGTGGGTCCCTTTCCTTGGTGACAGGCTCCCCACACCCAGCAGTCACCATTTCCGCCCCCGGGAGACCCACGCTGGCAGCGCAGCCCCTTCCCCGACTCAGCATCGGGAGGAAGACCCTGGTGGCGGCTGCCGTAGGGGTTATGCTGGTCCTGGTGCTGGTGGTCCTCATCCCGGTGCTCGTCAGCTCTGTGGGAACAGACGCCAGCCACTATGAGATGCTGGGCACCTGTCGGATGGTGTGTGACCCCTACCTGAACAAGGGCACCCCGGCCAGCAGCACCAGCTCCACCGGGCTCCAAGCAGAGGCGGAGGCGCTGAGCGACCACAGCAATGTGCTTCCACCCTCCACCTTACTGCAGGGCCCGCAGGGGAAGCCTGGACGGCCGGGCAAGCCTGGACCACCGGGACCACCAGGAGAACCGGGGCCACCGGGACCAGCAGGGCCTCCTGGTGATAGAGGGGATCAAGGGAGGACTGGGATTTTGGGTTTGGGGGGGAATGGAGCTATAAGCACGGCCACCTACAGCACAGTGCCTCGGGTGGCCTTCTATGCAGGGCTAAAGAACCCCCACGAAGGCTATGAGATCCTCAAGTTTGATGATGTGGTCACCAACCTGGGCAACAACTATGATGGCATCTCGGGCAAGTTCATCTGCAGCATCCCGGGTACATACTTCTTCATCTACCACGTGCTGATGAGAGGAGGGGATGGAACCAGCATGTGGGCAGACCTCTGCAAAAACGGCCAGGTTAGTGCTTTGAAACTTTTTTTCTAACTCCCTTGAACTCCCCTCGGTCTGAAGACACCTGATTTGCTCCTTGTGCTTCCTCTTCCATTAAAATTACATTTCTTTGTAAACCCAGCAAAATAAAAGTCACATTGTGAGTCACAAGCTCGCGCGTCTGCATCCAAAGCCCAGAGCGCACAGCTGTGGCACCAGGCGCGCCTAGAGATGAAGACGTGTTGACTGGTGGCATTCCGCGTCCCCTCTGTGCGTGATGTGTCCTGACTTTGCCGCGTCCCGACATCTAAAGGACGGTCACAGTTACGGGCTGAATGGGGGAGCGCGCGATGATCATTTTGCCATGATACTGAAAAGATCCGATAACACTTTTCTGCGTGTTTTTCCCCCTGAATTTGATACGAAAGGAAGTAAAATAAGATCAGTTTGAGGCAATCGAGCGTTTTGGAGTTTACGAGCTGGAGAAGAAAATAAAAAAGGATCGACTGGAGTATGAATTGATGTGGTTCAATTCCTTTTAGCGATTTTATTTTAATTCTTGTCTAACAATTCTCAAACGTAAAATATAATTATCTCACATATCCTTTTATAATATTTATACGCACACCTTATATCCCTCTCCTTTATTACTCAATCATCCCACTGTTAGTGCGCTTTGGTGTCTTGTCTGCGCTCACGTAAAAAGGGAGGGGGAAATATTAGAAAAAAACCTCTTTGAATATTGAATCTTAAAGGTGTTAACAAGAGCTCACCGGATTATAATGTCTGTCCGCCGCTGCTCTCGTCTGTCTATTTAGTCGTGTTAAACACATTAGGACGTCTACGTGGTCTATTCTCAGCTTTCTTGATGCATCGTTTTAATGGGGCTTTAATTTTATTTCGCGCCCCGGAGGGTCTTCTCAGGTTGGAGATGTGTGCCGGTGGAGTTTGCAGCTTTCCGATCAGCCGTCAGATCTCGTATCCTGAGAGTGGCTCCCAAATTTATTTCGCCTGTAAAAAAAAACAAAAATTACAAGTGATACTCAAGCCTGAAGTTCAAGCAGGCTATTGCTCTTTTGCAGGAGCTACAACTATTTCTACCACTCTCTGGACTAACATGTGAAAGTATTATTCATTTGGTGAAATTAGTTTAGCAGCCAGGAAGTAATATGAAGGACAGCTTTCACTGAGGAGCCTGCAGACCTAAAACATGTCAATACTTTTAAACACTAAATTAATTCAGAATATGTGTGAAATATATTTATTTATGATATAAAACTGAGACAGTTGAGCTGCCAGCTTTGCATTTCACACATTGTCTCTATTATGTAAATCAGCTGAACTTCAATTGTTCACTCCAAAATCCATGTGATGTGAAATACCAATGGAGACAAATCATAAATGCTGCTGCTGACACTGTTTTTTTTTCTTACTTTATAACATAACTAAGATCCCACTTACCACAAGACACATAATATGTATTATTAAAAGCTTATTTCATGAAGTTTGGGGTTTCTGATTTAGCATCTCCAGCTTCTTTTACTGTCAAAAACACAGTTCTGTGCTGACATGAGATTGATAATAAATATAAGCGTAAAAAAACACACCAAATCTCATCTTTACAGCATGGCCTTACAGCAGCGTCTCCGACCTGCTTCGCAGCAAACTGGCTGCAAAATGACTTTATATGTTTTCCTTTTGCCATATCGCTTTCGAATAATGTTTACAAAGTTTAACGTGGAACAAAAACTCGGGTCAGTAAAGAAACACAGTGAGAGTCAAGCTTACAGCTGTTGGGGTCTTACAGTAAAGGTGCTGAAACAGTGATGTGTACAACTCTGAGATAAAATAATTGATGGCAGCAGCTCTGTGGTTCAACCTGCAGCCTCACTGAGGCAGCTAAAGGTTAAATTTCTTACCCTCGCCAAGAACACACCCAGCAAGAAAAAAAGGGAATTACAGCAATTTCCTTCTATATATAATGTCTCACTCAACAGTAATGTTTATGGGTGGGTGGAAAAGCATTGATATATAATTGGGGAAGAGGAACATATGTTCCTATAAAACACCTTCTGTTGCAGCTTCATTGTGCTCCCAAGAGGAGGGTGTGGAGGTACTTAAGTTAGACGCACACAGTGTTCCTCTCCAGAGACCTGCGTAATGTTTATAAAGTGGTAACTGCTTCCTCTGTCCTATGCACAGCTTTTACATAAACACACACACTCTCCTCGCTGTAGTGTTTATTAGCTTTGTGTTCTTGGCTGATGAAGAAGGCCCCAGAGCCCCGGTCTGTGTAAATGACTGTGAATGGTTATAAATGTTGTGCAAACTTATGCTACATCATTGATGAAGTGCTGAGAGTCAAACTGGGGCTCCTCAAGAAACACTGGTGCTTTACTCAGCTCATTAAGGCTGCAAAAAGCTACACAGTGAGCTGGGACAAGAGAGGCCAGGGGATTACACACAATACTAGTATTTTATCATCTTTTGGCTTCAGGAAATCGGCAAGTTTCCAGGCCCCGCAGTGCCGCAGAACGCCAGCTTTTGCTCCTCCCTCTACAGGGGTTCTCACAAGCTGTGTATATCACTAACATCCACGATAACTCCATTCCTTCCTCCTCTTTTTCATCTGAACTTTTCACATGACAGCGTGCAAAGCGAGAAACCCAACACTGTCCCCAGGACTTTGACTCTTTCAAGCTAGACCAAAAAGTGAGCTTCCGGGTAAACAAATAAATAAGAAATCTATTTTCAGCTCAGCACACTTTATCTGCCATCCAAGTTCCTCTCTGCTTACTCTTTCGCCTTCGTCATTGCCTGTTCGCTTGCTGAGGTGCCAAATATTCCGACCAATCCTGAACCCTCTCCAGTATATCAATGCTTTACTTCAACCTGTGTCAGATGCAACCTGAGAGGCACAGCAGAGACAATGAAGACAAATTCATTGGATGGGGTAGAAAGAGGAGACAGAAGAGGGGACATAAAAGACACAGTTATTGTGCTATTGTGCCATTGTGTCTGTTTAATTGTAATTAAAAAGCTTGAACCACATCCAGGATGTGTTTGCGCTTCTCTTCTCTGTTCCCTTCTTAATATTGTTATTAATCCGCAAAACCGTTTCAGAGTTAATTAAAAGCAATGACTTCAGCGTCAGTCTCTCAAGAGGACCATAGTGAATAATCACTCTGTCTCCTCCTTTAATAAGCTTCAACGTCCTTCGTGCACATGCCTCTTCCCCAGCAATTACTGCTGCAGTCTCCTTCTCACACACACACAAACACACTCGCACACGCGCATGCTTGCCACCCTAACACCCAGCCCCACCCTCCCAGCCCACCCCAACTGTGCTCTGCCCTCCATCTCTCCTCTATGTCAGGTCTACAGGAGCTCACTTTTCCAGAGGAGCAGAAAGTTCTCAGCTACTTTTAAAAAAAACAAAAAAACTATGAAGTATTATTCAGATAGAGCTCTCACAGAATCAATGTGCTCACACGCAGTTGCATCAATACTCCTCATTTTTCTTAAAGAAATGCATTGCACTGTAATGTAGGAAGTTTAGAAAGAATCGGTTTTATTTGCAGGATGTTTTCTGCCGCTGTGTCTGCAGGTGAAGTCTACGCATCCTAACAGTAAACACAGGAGCTGAGCCATATGGATGAGGGCTTCTTCTGTTTGATTTGGTTACTGACATGCCGCAAACTCTGCAGAAAGGTGTGAATAATGAGGAAGATCTCCCTTAATAGCTCAGGCGATGTTCTTGATTGATTTTGAACTTAGTGGCTTTTTAGCGTTTTTCTGTCCCAAAATGAAACAAAAGCTGTGGCAGGAGTCATTCACACTTACTCACAGCTATACTTGGTCTTCATTGATTTTAACATTCTGGGAATGTTCAGACCTGCTCGTCTTCATCGTGGTGTGACTCCAACACTAAGGGGCCTCTGTGTGTGTATGAGCTGGGTGTAACAGAGAGACTCTGTGTCATACAAACAGACCGGGTTTGAGAGAGCCATCCCCAGTCCCTTGGCTTCTTCGCCTGCGGTATTGATCCCCTTGTGCGTATGTGTGAAAGTATACATGTCTTTCTTCACAACTGATGCACCCATTGCTTCCTATGTGATGTACACCATGGCATTTCTTCTATAATCAGCTGGAGAGGTGGCGGAGGCGGACCTTTGGCCTTGATCTGCTGTGTAATTGGACATTGAATTTGACACTCTGCCGAGTGGAACATTAGAGCCGCTCTAATTAGGTGCGAGGGCTATCAAACGCAGATTGGCCTGTGTTGTTAGGAAATACCACCCCAGATTGAAAATGTCAAGTTGACATCAGGCTAGTCATCTGCAGGCGCAGGCAAGAAAATCTATCATTTATCTGTGAAGTTTCAAAACTTGCTAAGAAGCTGCCCACCACTGTCTTTAATATTGAACCACTGAGTCTCAAATAGAAAGCTGTTAGAGTCCAGGAGTGGACACACATGCTCCCTGTGACGGCCCGGCAGATTAAGCAGCTCATGAAATCCAGCTATAATGTCTCGTGTTTAGTGAGAGCAAAAACATACAGTCTAAAATAGGCTTTGTATTGTCTCCTGTGGCTGCCTGACTCAAGGATGCTATGGTGTTGACTCACAAGGCTTCTTCATTATAATGAGGGCCATATGGGAGATAGACAAGTGCCCCCGGCCCTCTTATGCAAACATCTCTCTCTCCGCCTCTCCCCACGCCCCTGACATTTAGCCGTCCAGCAGATCCAGTTCTCAGTGATACCCACAATTATCCTCTCCTTCTTCACAGGGAGGCAGCAAGTCAATGGCTTTAAATGACTCACAGTCTGCGACATAACTCAACGTGTTTAACACCTCCTGACCTACCCCTCCCTAAAATAAAATGGGTAAGACATCAACAATCGCAGTAAGGGAGGATGAATCGGCTACTGTATGAAAAATTGATGTCAAAGCAAAGCTTAAATTCTGCTCCTCTTCCAACACTTACTCATTTGAGGGATTCTTTTCACAAGGAGTCATAGTGCCTCAGGGTTACTAGGAATACCCTGGAACAGAGTAAACTAAACTCGGTGGAAAAAAATAAATAAATAAAGGTTGAAAATGTTGCTGTAAAAATCTCTTTGCAGACAATGCTGCAACGGGCGATTGTGCTTTTGCTCTTCTTGGTGCTGGAGGCGTACACCTCTCTGTAAATCTCAGTAATTAACCGAGCGTGATGAGTTGCACACAAGGATGAAAGAAGTGGCGGGATTGCAGGTCAAAGTTGATGCCTCTTTTTTCCACCACCCAAGCCCCAGAGGATCTCATCCTCTTTGTTGCATTTCACACTTTTTTCCTTACTTTCTTTTCCATTTAGAGGTTCATCAAAGAACAAATAAAATATAACTAGACCCGGGTTCACCTTGAGCATTAATGTAAGAATTTTCCGATACATTAATATGTTTGTGGAGTTTCAAAGGAAGCTGAGGAGGTACAAAGAGAACATCTGGTGACATTAATTCAGGGTAACTTCTTTTACTCTCTGCTGACGGAGAGCAAATCTTGTATTACCATTTACTTCCTTTTATCGTGTTTTCAGCTAGATTCCCATGACAAAAAAATACTGTGACATATTGGAGCTGAGACACTTTCTGACACTCGAATACTCATGCATCCCATCATAGCTTCCTGTTCTCGTTCCTTCTGTGAAATCTCATCTTCTGCGAGCGGTAAAATTCTTCTGTACGTCTCTCCTCCAGTCTGTGTGTGTCTCTGCTGCAGCAAAATGTTGGACCAGGCTCAATAGCAGTGGCAGACTTTCTAAGCTGCTATTAAGCATGCAGTTCACGGCTGGAATGTTCAAACACAATTAGACGGCAGTACACTTTGATTTAAGGAGGACCAATAGACTCTTGATCCAAAATAGAGGCTCAACATCAAGTCAACAAATCCCTGTCAGAGAGGCCGTGAGACATGTCCTTGTCACAGTGACAAAACCTCCTGTGAGATCGGTGTCCCGGTGAAACTAAAACCAGACTTAATAGATAAAACGTCAAGCTGTCAAGATTAAAATAAAGGAGTGTTTAATTTCAGTTTAATGCTTAATACAAGTTTAAAAATACCTCAGGTATCTTTTAACTATCTGAGATCACGGTCCCATGAAACTGGTTATCAGAAAGATGAGTCAACCCAGATTTACTGTCACATGAGTGTAAGCAACATCTGACCAATCACCGACATGAACGAGTTTGCCGTCAGCAGATTGTCATATTTTCATACACAGAGCAAATTATATGACTTTAAAAAAATATATAAATTTAAACACATAATCCGTAATCAAATCAACACAGCTGTATTTGCAAAATTAATACAGAACTGTCATTAAAATAGTGCTCGGAGTGAATAAGCAAATTAAGACTCAAACTTATCACTTTTCAATCGTTATTGAGCCAAAGATCCAAAAACAATAACTCCTGTAAATCCTCCAAACTGCTTTGTTGCTCAGATTTAATCTTGTGGTGTGTGTGAGAGTTTTAGACGGAATATTAATTTTGAAAGGGGGGAAAAGGAGATGATATGGATGAATGTGGAAATGTGATTTAAAGCAATATGCAGGCATGTTTTGAGAACTTTTACAGTGTTAAATGATTAAGTTTCTGTTTAAGAATTATATCAGGACAGTACAATTTACAACTTTCATTTATATTTTCATAAAAATCATACAGGTAGACATGTCCTGTCCCTCTGAAAAAGCGTACAGAGCACCACAATCCTACAGTTTTATCAGTCCAGACAGAGTTTTTTACAAACTCATCTTATATCCTGAACATAACCTGTTGCATCCCAGTGTAGGTAATTAGCATCAGTTACCATGGTGATCTACTCTAGCAGGAAATGAACCAGCTTTGTAGAACTGAAAACCCAGAGTTAACTTGAAGTTCTGCCTTGTACAGTATCTGTGCTCAAACACAGCACAGCAACATGAGCCTGAGCGTGATCTGGCTTTTTTACAACAGGTTTTATGTAGCACATAATTTATTAACAGCAACCAATTAGTACATTTCTTCATGCTGATTGAAATATTACTCATTAAAGCTTCTATAAGGAGTTTTTTTCAGGCTACTAGAATAGAGTCAAGTTCAAGTTGATGCTTTTTCATGATATCCAAAACAAGAAAAGACAATTAGCAACAAAACTGACAATGTTTATATCAGAGTAGGGGGTAGGTGTCAGACCGGCAGCCAGAAAAACAGTACTAATTTTACACTTTACACATAAAATATTGACAATTAATGACACACTTAACCCTTTAGTGCCTTTTGTATCATATTTGATACATACTTTTATAATACGTCTATCAATCAATATGATCAACAAATTACTAAAAAAAACCTTAACACAGTCCAATAAATGATAAAAAATGTCCTCTTGTGGTTTATCAGTTTCCAAAAACATCTGATATATCAAACGAGATAAATAAATATATTTGTAAAATTTTAAGGACTTTTGTTTTTTTCGGTTTCCATTAGTAAGTGAAATAAACATTTCAGCTCTAAAAGGTTTGAATTTTCTGGCCATAATTTGTGGTTTCAGGCATTATAGGATTAACTGTAAAAAGTCAGGAGGATGAGATTTTTTTGTCAAAAGTTGCTTCTTTAGCATGTAGAGGACAAGATAAACAAAGACTGCTTTGTCCACAGGGAAGGTCAAAATTAACACAAACCTCACTGGAGCTTCAAATGAGACAAACATAACAAGTTCAGCTTGACAAGTTCTGATTTATTTAGCAGCTGGCCAAATATTTCCCTGCACTTTTTCTACCTTGTGTATGGTCACGACCCTTCATATTGTGTTTGTTTATCCTCCTGCATTGAGTGAAATGAGAGTCTGCAGAGGGCTGAACTGGTGGCATGAGCAGTTCTAGCAGCTCGATTAATTTGGGCAAAGATTTGTTGCACAACTTAAAAAGTGTATTTGGATCTCCTTAAGCTGAGTAATATACGGAAATAAAACTCTGAGCGCCGTTATACCACATATGAGAACGCCTCTCGCCCAATCAAATTACTTGCTTTTTCAATATACACTAACCCTGAAGGGATCTCCTTGAAGAGCAACAGCGCTCGGTATGTTAACGCGTACCATAAATACATTTCAGTGTTAACATAAACAACAACATCATTATTATTGATAAGTGTGACGCTCAAGTTAAGAGAAACGTCACTTCACATTTCCAGGCACGCGTGATCCATTAAGCTGGAACGCAGCCCTGAATTTTTTGTGTCTCCACTCTGAGTATTATTCAATCAAAGCCATCACGCTGACGAAGTGAAGGATGCAAACACGCACGAGCAGCCACAAGGAAGACAACATGGCACGACACCTCATTTAGCACCGCTGGAGATGGCGCTCACAGCCTCACGCTTTGTTTGTCTTGTCAAACTTCCTCTACATATTGGGTGTCAAGGTCACGCACTGCCAGTTGGCTGTTTGTCCTGCTCATCTCCCGCTACACATCTGCCAGTCCTGGGAATTGAACCTCTGGCTCATATCCCCTAACAAGTTCTTTGTGTGCATGAGAGACAGAAAAAAAAAGAGAAAATAGCTCCAACACAAGCTTCCTGATCATTATTTCAAAAACAGTGAGAGGTTTTATTCATGCGTGCTTATCATTGGAAGCAAACGAAGGAGGCCTAGTCTGCAGCAGTTAGTCTCAGAAGGGGATAAAAACCATTAGAGCAGAGAAACAAAACAAAACAAAAATATCATCGTGGAAGGAGCAGGAGCATTTCTGGGAACTTTGCTTTCACCAGGGCTTTGCTCATTTTGTATCTGCTGAAGAAAAAGGTTATATTTGGTTTTATTTGTATTAAGAAAAAAACACATCAAACAGGAACTTGAAGACGTTTTAAATTTAGCTCTTCAAATAGCAAATGAAGAGAATAATTTAAGCTATATTACACATCTGTGACTTTGCCAGAGGTTCCAGGTTCTGTGTGAACACTCGGAGAGCAAATATTTTGATAAAGTTTCATTAAAATCCCAGCTGACAAATCCTCTTGAGCCCTTGTCACCCTCTCCTGCACCAACCCAGAGCGGTAACCCTCTAATAGGATGTTGTTGACTTTGCACACTCGGGGCACATCATATCATATTAATATGCACTGGACGCAAGCTTCTCAGCGTCAGAACAGGAGGCTTTGTTTGCACATCGATATGAGCTGCGCTAGATTTAATCAAGAGGATAAACATTGAAAAAAAAAAAAAGGTGTTGAATGCTCCATATATTACTTCTGTATCTTAAAACCTCTCCTCAGAATTTCATTATCCAGATTAGCCTTCATAGCTTATGCACATGTCATGAAACGTGAGTTCCTCTGCTTGATATGCTGTAAGAGTTTAAAACAGTGTGATTGAAAAGATACAACAAAGTCTAAGTTGCTCTTTCTGCAGCCCAAGGAAGGACATTCGGACAGCAGTGTTGCTGTAAATAAATTATTCACCACTCAGATGTTGCTTTAAAGTGTTTTGCCCATGCTTGACATTCTTTTAGATTCCTCACAAAAGTTTTGTTTCCCCCCTCTTTTTCTTCTTTCACCTTAAATTAAAAAGACGATCTTTTTTTAAACTCATCGACAATGTGGTTAAGAAAGCTGAAAGAGTTTCAACCTTGCTCCTCTCAGCCTCATGATTCAATACTGCAAGCTGAAGAACAGCTCTCTCTCTCTGACAATGATCGACTGCAAGAGGAAGGAAAACTGGCTGAATATTGGGAGATGGCTGAGAGCATACACCCTCAAAAAAAAAAGAAAAAAAAAGAAAAGGAGGAGGAGGAGGACGAGGACGAGGTGGAAGTAATTAAAATACAACATTTTTATTGTGATAAAACTTCTGGGAAATCTTGTGTGGTCCAAGCTGGCTCTCTGTATTTAATCATACATAAGTAGTGTTTTAAAACCAGAGTGGCCGTTAATCTCACTCAGCAATACAAGCAAACACTGTCGATTTTTATTGGTGGAAATGTCTCTAAAAAAAAAGAAGATGAAGAGCTGTGAGGAAAGGTTGTATAATAAAAATGTACCGACATACTGCTGCACGCAGCTTGGTTACACTGGGTTCAAAATAAGGTGTCACGGTTTTAGCACCTCACCACTTAAACGCTTTTACAGTTATGTAGTAGTAAAGACCGACTGTACCCTCTGGTGTAAGTCTGTCTCTGTGTCATTGTGTTGCTCTGAAGAGAAGCACTTAAGACTCCCACTAATGCTTCTTTTCAGGAATCCTCTTGTTCGATTCTCTCGCAAGCTTTTAACTCTTGTCCTGTTAATAGTTTGAAAAATACTCCATGAAGAATTTGTTTAAGATCACAAATGTAGATATATGTCTGATCACATGTGCTGAAAACACATCATCCACCTCTGCATGTTCTCTGATAACATTATTGAGCACAGGAGAAACTGAATAAGGACACAAAAGCATATTCTGTATTTTTCATGGTGCAAAAGTACTGAATTTGTTGTTTTAATATATGTAGAGACATTATCCCACGCTCCTCGTACAGTTGAGCTGAGTTCTGAGTATCAGCCTCTTCTCACAGTATGCATGTCGTGTGTTCTCAGATTGTCAGGCGCCCTCTAAGCTGCCTGTTGGACCAGCTTGTCCACACCAGCCCGATTTAAAGCTGTGAGGACAAATATGGAGCCAAGGCAAGTGCTGGAGTGGACCATAGAGACTCGATAATGAGCCACAAGAAAACATTTCAAATGCACGTGAAATATTGATTCAAATCCACCTCACTGACCAGACTAAGTGACTAATTGGCTTGCTTAACCAGCTGCTACTGTAAAGGATGGACTTTTCTTTTTTCATCCCCAGAGGAAACAATGATTTTTTTTTTCTTTTCCTTTGTTTTGATTCTGTTCAAGACTGATGCAGTTCTCCTCTCACAGCAAGGAGAAACGGTGCAGAGTGGAAGTATTTGGAAAGCACCCTTTTAAATCTATTTCTCTATAGCTACAGTATGTTTCTTGTATCTGTTCTGACCTCATTGATTTCCATTCAAATCTGCAGTTTATAACCAGAAGACCTGCTGATACTCTACCTGACCTACACTGAGGCAAAGTCTGCCTTTTTTATCTTCTGTTTAGTCTTTTTGATTTATGTACATGCTCACTTTGACTAAGATTGAAGGTTATTTACTTGTAAAATAATAACCTCCTCAGTTGTCTTGTGTTTATGGAGATGATCCTGCAGCGTGATCTCAAGATTGGACTAGCCGTTGTAGTCCTCAGTACAAATAAAACACTGAAAGCAAAAAAGCATCATTTTGAAAGCACTTGAACCAATTTCAAAGTCAATTTAGAGGTTTGTTTTAAAAGGGTTTTCAGGCACGAAAGGGGGACAATGTACTATCCAAGTGATAATACCTGAAAAGACATTTTTTTTTTTTTTTTAAACTTTAAATTAGCCGCCACTTGCCAGTGAGCTATAGACTGTATAAACTGTGGACAAATACTGCGTTCCAGTAACCTCGGAAGTCGGATGTCGGAGCTCGGAATGATGTTACACCCCAGTTGACGGCGTTACAGTAAGCAAGTCAGAAGACCAAAATGGATGCCTACTGTTAGCTGTTGTTAACAACTTTCAGTTGTTGTTAGCGTTTGTTAGCTGTTGTTAGCTATACCAGTTGTAAACAATGCATAACACAGTATTTTACTCTCACAAACACCACAGCACTGTGTTCACAGTTAGATGTAAATAATACATTATGAGAGCTTTCACTGGTACTCTTCACTGTTGATACACTGCGCTGCCATCTTGGATTATGATGTCATCAAGTCAGGGTTGGTGAGAATCGTCTGACCTTCCAAGTCAGAAATCCGACTTCAGGGGGGTGTTCCAGATGAATGAATTTCCAACTTTGAGCCTGGAAATCCTGTCCCCCGAGTACAACTGGAACGCAGCACTAGTCTCAATGATATTATCAACTCACAATTCATCAATCTAGAAACAAGCCAACTCATTCACATCTATGATTGTGCAGGTCTATGCATAATTTTGAGTCTCCTCCCCCCAAAAATAGAGTAAGGGTTTTAAGAAATGTACTTAATGCAGTTGCCATGAATAGAGCTGTTAAGGCCTGATCTGAGCATTTGTGGCTGTGCTGCATTGAGTTTACTGTAGGTAGTGCAATGTGAATCACACTGGCTCTGTTTCAATAAGCTGAAAGAATAAACAATATAGGAAGCTGTTAATGCTTATTCTGCAACATTGAATTTTTTTTCCATTGGTCCACTACCTTGAGCTCGGCAATATAGCAGAGTGCAATGCTGAATCAGAGGAGTATTTATTTCTAATATATAAATATAATATGACGGATCATAGAGCCAAACTACTAGAAACACAGTTTCCCAGCTGAGCCCACAGTACAGGACCAGGCATTATGACTGTTGTGCAGGATCACTTTTAATTAGTCGTGTTGGCTCCGCACACAAAGACACACACTCCATGCTGGAAACATCCAGTCTATCCAGTCTATGACCTTCACTGTTTGTCACTACTATAGTTTACCGCAGTCATTTCCTGCTCACTCTGCGTGCGTATCAGCTGTGTTGTGTTTGAACTGTTTCCTATGCAACTTTGGATGCAGCAGTTTCAAAGTAGCTCCTTCCAATAAACGACACATTTAGTCCCGCAATCAAACACACACTCAAGCATACACACACACACACACATGCAGTCATGCTTGAAAACACAGCTATTGTTTCAGCGCCCATTTGGCACAGCAGCAACATTTCCTCCCCTGAGAGAGAGCGCATGTTTGTGCTGGAGGTCTTAATTAGCCAGGACAGGTTATTTAGAAACGGTTCCAAATGTCCTATAGCCAGACTGGCAAACTACACATGCACACACACACACTCACTCACGTGCACACAGACATACACACAAATGAGCACACATCGGTCAGTTTGACTTTATTTAAAATCAAAATGTAGATATGAAGCAAACTCACTCTAGTGACTCCTTTGAGTTAAACAGAGTTTCCTGGTAGAGTCCTACAACATAAAAGCTCACAAAGCTTGCTCTGTAAAAGGCTTTGATTGTATAAAGTCTGGTGGTTCTTAGGTTGAATATTTGGCGACCACTGAACAGATTGAAACTACAAATCCTCTTTTCAGGAGGCCCTCTGGCTGCTGCTGCTTCAGGTTTAGTTTTTGCACATAGAGAACTCTTGTTTCCGGTTTCTGGTCAAGTGATCTTAAACCAGCAATTTATTTTCTTTAAACATTTTAAGACTTCTTTTATTTGCCCTTTTTCTGCCTCTGGTAAGAAAATATGTCTTTTGTGTCGAAGCAATGGTGGTTTCTTTGTTAGTCTAAAGTTCTTCAGCAAAATTTATAAAAACTTCAAAATTTTGCTCATGTTACTATTGATAAATTTGACAAAAAAGCACGACTCTAAAAGTTGCTTTTTTATCTGTAATGTTGTTTTTTTTTTCTCTCTCTCTCTATCTGAAAGTGTCTCATAAAAAAGAAACTTTTGCTTTCCAAACTGTTCCCAACTTCTGTTATTTTTATCAAAGCTCCTGGGAGTGTTTCTTTCCTTTTTTTTTTTTACAGTCATGAAATAGACTGACATTTAATTTGATATCTTTTTTGTGATATAAAAAGGCAAACAAGACCATCAGGAACAAGATTAAAGATATTTCATGTGGTGATTTTTATGCCTGAAATTGGTTTGAAGGTGGTCGGTGTCAGCTAGGCAGCTTAACATTTTTGATGATATATTTGACTGTCAGATTTGTGTAGGAAGACATACAGTAAGTGTGCAGAGGACAGTATAAGCAGAGATTGCTTTGTCCACAGGGGGGCGCCAACATAAATACAAAGTCAAAGTTCATCACAGGAGCTTTAAAAGAAGAAATTCATACAAGTAGGCAGGCTTAGAGATATGGACATACATGTTCCTTTGATAACAAATAATGCACAATAACAAGAGTCAATACAGATTCACTTAAGTAGAAGTAGAAGTAGAAGTATAAAAGAATAAAAGCTGACAGGTAATTTCCCAGATTCTTGATTAAAATGTTCTAATGTGTGGTTTCTTTGCAAATAGGCTCACCTTTTTCACATGTTTTCTTGTCTCTGGACTTCCAGGTTCGTGCTAGTGCCATTGCCCAAGATGCCGATCAGAACTACGACTACGCCTCAAACAGCGTCATCCTTCACCTGGACGCAGGAGATGAGGTTTACATCAAATTAGATGGAGGCAAAGCCCACGGAGGCAACAACAACAAGTACAGCACCTTCTCTGGCTTCATCCTCTACGCAGACTGAGAGACAGACAGGAAGACAGACACACAGACAGTCAGACAAAGATTGAGAGAAAAAGTTATTCAACAATGGGAGGGGAGGGGTGTGTGCGTTAAAAGCCGGAATGCTTTCTAGTTTTCCTAATTCTCTCCATCATCACGGACACCTCTGCTTCGTATCCATCAGCTGAGACGTCCGGGCTCTGTAGCAGAGCCTGGATGGGGACACACTGAGAGGGGCTGGGGGCAGGAAGCAACGGAGGACGTGTTTCTCTGCACTCCTCAACCTCAATGCGGACGTGTCAGACGCTCCTTGCTTTCTTTCAGTGTCTCTCCTCTGCAGCCCTGCTCCATTGCACAGAAATATCAACATGAAAAATGAAAAACCCTGCTAACGTGGATGATCTCACCTCTTCTCTCCACCATGGCAACAGTCAGCTGTACCGTCACTGGACTCGATTGACTGAAACTCGTAGTGTTGTTCCGTGCAATTTTTCCTTAGAGTGTGCTTTTATTTTGTAGACATGTATAATATTCTACACAGATGAGATTTAAAAAAAGAAAAGAGAATATATTTGTCCCTTGTGAAGATATCCTGTTTGACTGAGAGAAGTAAAGATGTATTATTTGTGATGCAGCTCAAAGATTGAACAGCTGGGAGAAGAAATCTTTCAGGCAGTGGGTGTTTTTTTTTTCATCATCGCTGGGTTCAACAAAACACTGTTCATGTGGAGATTGACTAACATTCAGCACTGTACCTCTAATGTATCCGACAAAGGACGCATTTCATAAAGACAGCACCCTTTTCCACACAACTCCTCACTCGGTTCACGCACACAAACACACAATGTCCTGCTGCTGTTCGGATTAAAAGTAGAGTTTAAATCCTTTCTTCTATGTTCTAGTTTTATGTCGACTCTGGACTCAGCACAGGCCTTTGATGAGGCAAAATGTTCAAATTAAGAGATAACCTATTTCTCTGCTGCGCCGACCTCACTGCGTAAAACACGTGGCTTCAGGAGAGGAGGGTGAAGAAGAGAGAGTCGACACTACTAAGAGCGAACAAGTCCGTTTTAAGAAGTAGGGTGTCAGACTTGGGAACAGTGAGTGTGCACTTTTTCTGTTTGTGTGTCTGGGTGTCATCAATTCATTAGCTGCATCCTCACTGACACACACAGGCATTAATACGGTAATATTTACTCAACATGGCGGCCTGACTGCTCGCTTGAGAATGAAACTGATTGGATGACTGACCCGGTCAATTGTGGCTGCAAATTTGCGTGTGTGTGTGTGTTTGTATGAGCAAGTATGTATGTCATGTCTGCATTTTAGCATGTGCTGTGCCATAGCTACATGATTCTTTTCCAGAGTTATTCTGTGCTACAGCCAATGAAAGATATTTTACTCAGCAGCCAATGAGATTGTTCTCCGGAGGGCGGGGAGCCTCTATAGATACGATGAGAAGAACAAACAGCTTGTAAATGAAATCTATGACATGTTTGTCTATCTTATCTTTTGGAATCGTTGAATACATTTAAATAATAAATGGGATTTTTTGAGTGACTTGTCTCACGAGACTTCTTGTATCCCATATGCGCTAATTAGGGGAAATGATCTGTAAAAAAAAAAAAAAAAAAAAATGGTATGTTCTGTGAGACTAACTAGCTACAAGACTGGAGATGTGTGTTTCTTGTTTTGTTTAAACTGAGAATTTAACAATGGCCTGTCAGAGCAAACATTAAAAAAAGACCCTATAAATAAGTCCCTCATCTCTCTTTTCTCTCAAAAAAAAAGTGGAGTGTATTTTGGCTGATGGGTACCGAGGGACAGAAGTCTGTGTTTATGCTCCTTCTGTCCCGTCTTAAACTGATTCTGTGGAGCTGCAAAGGTGCACTCAGTGATAAAGACCATCCAACTTTAGCAACATCCACCCGTGGAGTAAAATGCAGTTTTTGAATGCTGATGAGTCTCTAAGGATACGCAGCCTATTCCTCAACCAGCAATCATGGCATCTTTTCACAGATCCCCATCAACAGAGGCATGATATACTAGCGAGGAAGTGTGGATGAGGGGGGAAAGACAGGGGGAGGAAAGATGGAGCGAGATAGAAGAGGAGCAGGATGTGGTTTGACAAAGACAGATGGAGACATGAGAGAAAGAGTAGGCCGCGGAGAGGAGTAATGTGGACGGGATAGATAGATGGATAGGGAGGGAGAGAGAAAGGAAAGGAAGATGGACAGAAAGGAGAAAGGGGCGGGTGGTGACTCGGGGGAGGAGAGGAAGGCGGGCTGGATTGTTTTCAGGGTAGAGTGATTCCCTGTCGGAGCTGTGTGAGGTGTCAGGAGAGATTAGCAGGCGTGAAGCTGGAGGAGAGAGGGCCAGATAGCTCGGATTGGACAAGTGTCTGGGAGTGGACTTTCCTCAGACCTGGCAGGAATGGGATGTGACACCGGGGGCTGTGTTGGTCGACAATGCTCTGCTCTTAAGGGAGCCAGTCAGTGCTCTCTGTGTCATTTTATTTACTTCCCTCCAGCATGTAACAAGCAACTGTAAGAGCGAGAATGAGGCTTACACCTATTTAGAGTTATTGAGCGGACATTATTTTTTAAACAGGACCGTCACACATAAAGGGCCTCCAAGAAACATGCAACATAAAAATATCTTTTTAGCCGACATTTTATGTGAAATTGGGTTTGGCATAAAGTTAAAGGTATATTCCGGCATAAATTGAAGTTAAGGTTAAACACACTGTAACACTGCGTTAGACACCCCATCGAGAGATGAATGTTGCTGACCACATGATTCTCTAGTTATACGATAGCAATACACAGCAGTCTACATCTCCATGCGCAAACCTCAACCAAAACGCCACTTTAAAGCCACAAATAATGCTCAGGACAGCGCCTAACTTTATCAACACTACATACACGGTCCCAGCCATAGTATGAGCCATCAAACATCTTTTAAGCTTTGGCTGGTTTCCTAAGCAAAGAGACCAAATACAACTCACCCACTCTCCTCCAGCAGCCGCTTGTTTGTGGGGGGAGCCCTGACGAGTCGATCACCAAGTGCACCAAAGTTTCACAGCTCAAGGGAGAACTTTTATGGTTATTATGGTTATTACTTCATGAAAATGCAGTCAGACCGAGACGCTAAGATAGAAGAGCTACCGCATCTGCTGTGCAAAATAATTATTATGATGATTATAACTTTATCGAAATGATCCACTGCACTCAGTGATCGACTCGTCAGGGCTCCCCAACAAACAGGTGGCTACGAGTGGCTTCTTAGTTGAGGTTTGCATGCGGAGACGCAGACCGCTGTGTATTGCTATCGTGCGGTCGTTACATTCATCTCTCCAGAGGGTGTCTAAATTGTTGTTGTGGTACGTTTGACTTAACTTAAATTTACGCCAGAATATCCCTTTAAATGCCTTAGTTAATGAGAAGATATTAATAGAGGATTGAGTTTAGAGCAAGAAGAAATATGCTGTCAGTTTCTTTGTGCTGTATTTTAAGAAATAGCAAACATAACCACAAGTCTGGAATGAGTGTAGAACACGTGTCTTCACAGGGCTGCATGCTGACGTCCACAAAAAGTGTGACACGAAAATGACGATAACAACTAAAATAAGTGAGACAAATTTAGATCAAGTAAAAGATCAACAAAATAAAACAACAATGATCATTCAGTGATTCCCTTCCAAAGCCATTGTGACTAGCTTATCTTCAGAGTTAATAGAGAATTAAGACACAACACATCAATAAAACCTGTAAAGCAATTAAAAAGACAGCAGCTCTTCTCTATCTTTAATACCAGAGCCTTTTTTCTCTCCTATTGTTTTTCCTGTGAATGCACCTGGTGGAATCTGAACAATAGAGCCATTGTGGTGACTTCTGTTTGAGTTACGTCACCCAGCCATCATCATGATGGAAAATAGGAGGAACCCTGGTGTGTCTTATGCTGCTGGGGGGGTTTGTTCTATGAGCCCCTGCAGACAAGAAAACAGACTATATATAAAAAGAGAGTCTAAAATCACCACCTATTTACTACATACAAACCTGTTTTCCCTGTCAGCCTAAAATAAATGTATTTGTAGTAGAAAATTGCTGTTGTGCAACTCCACACCTGTCAGAGATGACGCAACATGATGGTGATTCATGTGGGTCCAAATTCTCAATTTAATGCTCAGCAAACAGAAAGGATGAAGCTTCTGTTCCATAATGATAATAATGAAGATTCTGGATACACAACTATAAGCAGAAAAACAGCATTCATGGCGAATTTAGCCCATCTGCACGTCTCATATTTTTTCCCTCGCAGTATCTGAGATTTCAAGAAATATATCTTTAAGACATATGAAGTTAAATAGATTTAAATAAAGCAAAGGGTCTGACACCGATCCTATTTAAGTTCAGGGCCAATTAAAGCTAACTAAGGTGTTGATTAATGTGATACCGATGGTGTAAATAAAGTAGTAGGCTTTCTCCAAAGCACCCCAAGGGCAAAAACAGTCGCTCAACAGCAGAATAATCTTTCTCTGAACTTTCTCTCTATGTCTTATTAATTTGCCATTTAATTTCTCTCTCTCTCTCTCTATATCTATATATATATATATATATATAGAGAGAGAGAGAGAGAGAGAGAGAGAGAAGGTTCGTCGTTCTATATATATATATATATATATATATATATATATATATATTTTTTTTTTCACCCTGTTATTTTCTCCCTGTAGTGTTGTGCCTTAAACTTAGTGTGACAAACTCAAAGGTTAGGAACGCAGAGAGCTGTTAGCAGACCAGCCTCCTCCTGCCCCTCCGATACACACACATGCACAGAAAAATCTTTGCATGATAGTTCAGTCACACATTAATGCTGTCGACCTCCTTTTATTCTCCCAAATCTGCCGTCACTTTGAGTTGAAGCTGAGAAAGAAGCCTTTTCAAGTTGTCCCTGGATGTTCTGAAGCTGCCAGACCAGGTGTTCTCTTCAGTCACTACCTGAGCCGGAGGGATACTGGACGTGCTGAATCCCCTAAGCTGAGTCACCCAGGCTCTCATCCCTTAGACTTTGTGACACCATGACCTCACCTCACTCTCCACTGTTTTGCATGCACTTTCTTTCAACACTGTGACGTCATATATTCCTGGCTGCAGTTGAACGAGAGTTGACTCATACGTCTAAGCACCTCTGACCCTTATTTTCGTCTCAAACTCGCCTCAGCTGCTGTCTTGCGTCTTCCTACCATTGTATTTGATTTTCATAAATGTCTGTGTTGGCCCTTACATGCTGCAGGCAGAAACAGACAGATTCCAGTGCAGTAAATGTTTCTCCATCTCCTCCTCCCTCACACTGGAAAAAAAGGGCATCTTCACATGTTGTAGTGCTGCATCTCTAGAGGACTCACAGTAAAGAGAGATAAAAAAAACACAAACAAACATCCAACATGCTTTTTTTTCCCCTTCAGCAGGCTGAGTGCATTAGTGACCTTTTAAAGTGCTGTCTCCCTGGTGCTTTTGCACACACCCCAAAGAAGAACAAACTACTAATAGGGCTAAAAAGCTGACACACTTTAAGCAAAGATCAAACTGTTTCTTGACTGTGAGGCGGTTCTCGCTACATTAATGGTATTCAATTATGTAGCCGAGACAAACAAACATCTTTGTGGGAAAACAGCAAGAAAATGTGTGAAAGTTTGTGCAGAATGAGGACCGCAGATATGCAAAATATGAGTCCGCTGTTAATGTACAGTGTTTATTTTTACAGGCACTGATTGTTCTGCAGCTTTGAAACTCTGTGGATCTATTGCGTCATCCACAAAAACATCCACGACTTTACACTCACCTCTTTCACACTGAATTTCTCATACATGTGGAAAATTAAAAATAAATAAATAAACTGGGACTCTGAAAGAAAAAAAAAAGATGCAAATGGAGGGAGATGAGTCCACTGTGAAAAGAAAAGTATCAAACCGACTCAAGCTACAGTTCAGTTAAAAAAAAAAAAAGACAGGGTTTGAGAACATTTGAGACAGCCAACTTGCAGAAATGGAAGTATTTGTTTTCTTCATCTACCAAATGACCTTATTGGTTAGAATCGTAGGAGGCAGTAAGCTAACACCATATGACTCTAATTGCAGCAACTTGGTGTGTGAGTTTGTGTGTGTTTGTTTGATTGTGCATGCCTGTGCGCGCACAGTGCAGCGGTGCTTGCGTGAGCGGACATCAGACAGAGCTACAGGGCCTGCAGCGGGGATCTGCGGCGAGGTGGATGAGGTCAGAATTGCAGAGGGCAAATGTCAAAGAGGAGATATTACCCTCCACATTACTCCCACTCAAGCAGAACAGGCCATTACACAGTTTGTTTCAGACATTAGCATGCATACAAACAGATATTGACAAGTGAGGGAAGTAGACACCTTGGCTGGCAAATTAAGAGACTGTTAACAAAACAGGATTTCTGAGGGAGACATTGCAACCGCTCTGATAGCCTTCATATTATTCCGAATTTGAGCAGACTGTTTGAACTGAACAATGTTGTCCTAAATTAGCTCTGTTAACTCACTCCTGCTGCTTCGCACAGTCTGATGGATGTGTGGAAGGCTAGTCATGCCATCCTGAGTCACCTGAGCGGTGCACACTCCAGGCAGCAAGACAGGGAGAGAGCCATGGGAGGTCCAGAGGAGGCCAGAGAGGAGGAGAAATAGACATCTGTGATTAACACATGCAGACACGTGTCAGTGTGGAGCATTGGCTGGG